TAGAAGCTTCACCCATTGTATATTCTTACAAGAGTGTTTCTTTCCTTGATGGCTTGGGTTTGATGTTTATAGCCACACTTTTTTTGGCTGTAGTGTATACCCATCCATGCCGGCAAAAGTGTTTGCCATGTTGACTTGTACTTGCATATCGGTTGTCTTTTTGCTCATGAGTGCTACGTCATCTGCACTTGCACTAGTATTGCAGAGTATATTCCAAATTCTACATCCTAAACTTGATGTTTCCAGCATGTTAAGTAGTAGATTGATATAAAGCTTGTATAGGTCGGTACATAGGAACCCACCCTGGCGTACTCCCTGTAGTACATTAAAAAGCTGAGAAGTTTGGCCATTCCATTTAACTGCGCTTGTTGCATTACTCTGAATGATTGACCAGTGCTTATTATCGATTCCTGCGTGATAGAGTCGCTTCATAAGATGAGAATCTTTGTTGCATTACTCGGAATGATTGACCAGTGCTTATTATCGATTCCTGCCTGAAAGAGCCGCTTCATAAGATGAGAATCTATAACCACATCAAAGGCTGATTTTGCGTCCAGCAGGTCTACTTCATACTCTTGATTGTTGTCCTTCGCTTCACGGTATATGATAAAGATAGACATGCATTTCATGTACGACGATTTAATTTAGTTTGTAGAAAAAAGTGTTACATAGAATTACGAAGAAGCTGTGATTTTTCGTTGAAGTTCTCATTAACATTCTAAAAAAGTTCCTTTTGCAGATATCAAGGCAATCAGAAAATAGTGAGAAAAAAATCATTTGAAATGGGTTACCCTGACACGGTACGCACATAAATTACGCAAATATCGGACTTAAATATATTATCAGAATAGATCTAAATGGTGTTTAAATTATTATTGGTGTTCCGACTCATAAATCCTACAAACTTATTTAAACACTAACAACTGCATTTTCCATGACACATTTTAAAAAATAGCATAGGTGTACTGAAAATTGAAAATTAGACTTTTTTTTTAAATGAATCATACATGTAGTTTGCTAGGTAAAATTATTGAACAAGATCGAGTGTTTCTGGAGTTTAGAAATTGTGTTAAACTGTATGGCATGATTTTAAAAAGAAATTATTAGCCTGTTGTTGATTTTTTTTTTATTTGTGCATGTTTTTCTTCCTGACTGACTCGTAGGATTTGATTACGCAAAAAGAACAAACTATTTTTATAAAAAAGTTTTGCATTAGTTTCGCAATCATATGCGATTGAAACACCATACAGTTCAGTATGTTCGTTATGTTTCATCCTTTTATCATATCAATTTCGGAGACTAAATTTTGCCCACGACAAAAATATCGATAAATTTTGTAGCCTTCGAAATTGTACTTTTTGTAAATGCAAATTCCACGCATGACATACGCGCATCTGTTTATCAAAGTTCTGTCGTTTGTTGGTCGAGGGTTAATCGACGTTAATTTACTTACCATTCTTACCAATCTTAATTTCATCGACCATTTGACTGAAAATTTTCAGTTTAAAGTGATACATTAGTACTTTTAAATTCTCAAACTCGAGGTTGCTTTGCAGGCGAAGCTCCCTTCTGGTAAAACTATTCCTTATGGTTCCACATATTTGGCTGTTCTGTAAGGCCTTTATTGTTTAACTTTTTATTTATTTGACCTCCCAAACCTTTGGTCTCGATCGCACCTAATGAAGAATTTTCCAGAAACACGTAACGTGCGCACTGAAATGTGTATCATATGTTCACATGTATAAATATTTTTTATATAAATGCCTTGACCATCTGCACACTTCCAACACTTCAGTCATCTTTTTTTTTTTCTTAGTTTCTCTCTTTTTTTCTGACTGATTAGAGTACTTATCACTAAAATAGTATATTTAAAAAGCGTAAATTTTCTGCTTTTCAGATGCTATTTGAAGAACAGAATTAATCTTGATAATTTACAGTCAGCATTGCCATTGGACATATGTTAATAATTTTTAAACACCTCCATATGGAAAAATTTAAAAAAAAGAGTGCAAACAAACTTTAATTGGATATGAAAGCGACGTTTTATATTTACTTTGTTCTAAACACAGTTTCAAAGCTTATTGCCTAGTTGCTTTGTGTTCAAACAATAATACCAGTTCTGTTCAGAAGCTTTTTAGAATATTAAGTGTGAATTTTCAATCGATTAATTTGTTAAATTGACAGAACATGACTTTTAAAATATTTCATTGTTCAGATCAAAATTGCCGTTTTAATTCAAGATTGGTTTACAAATGTAGACAAGTGAAGTCTAACCATACATACGACACATAAAGATGACAAGTCTAACCATACAGATAACAAACAGATTAACCACCCTGAACATACACGTAACAAACAAATTAATCATTCTAACCATACAGGTAACAGACAAGGTAACCACTGACCATACAGGTAACAAGACAAGTTAACCACCCTGAATATACAGGTAACAGATTAACCACCCTGAACAAACAGGTAACACATGTTAACCACTCTGATCATACAGGTAGCAGACAAGTTAACCACTGACCATCGGGTAACAGACAAGTTAATCACCCTGAATATACAGGTAACAGATTAACCACCCTGAACAAACAGGTAACAGACAAGTTAACCACTCTGACCATATAGATAACAGACAAGTTAACCACTCTGACCATACAGGTAACAGACAGGTGGAACAGTCCAACCATACAGATAACCGACAAGTAGACCGCTCTGGTTATATAGATAACAGACAAATAGACTAGTCAGACCATACAGATAACAGACAGGTAGATCTATCTAGCCATCAAATAACAGACAAGTAGACGAGTAAGACCATACATATAACAGACAAGTAAATCTGTCAGACAATACAGACAAAACAGATAAGCAGACCAGTCTGATCAAACAAATAACAGACAAGCAGACGAGTCAGACCTAACAGATGAGAGACAAGTCGACCAGTCAGACTATACAGATAACAGACAATTAGACCAGACAGACCATGCAGATAACAGACAAGAAGACGAGTCAGATCATACAAATAACATACAAGTCGACCAGTCAGACCATACAGATAACAGACAAGTAGACCATTCAGACCATACAGATAACAGACAAGTAGACTAGTCAGGTCATATAGATAACAGACAAGTAGACCAGTCAGATCATATAGATAACAGACAAGCAGACGAGTCAGATCATACAGATAACAGACAAGTAGACCAGTCAGATCATATAGATAACAGACAAGCAGACGAGTCAGATCATACAGTGACAGACAAGTACACCAGTCAGATCATATAGATAACAGACAAGTAGACCAGTCAGACCATACAGATAATAGACAAGTGGACCAGTCTAACCATAGGGATAGGTGGATAAGTTTAACATGTGTATTGTGTGGAATAAACTTGGTCAGTACCTTAATCAAAACAAAGAAAATAAATGTGGATAGTGTCCACATGTGGACACAGATGATGCCCCCGCTTGCATTTCATATAGTTATAAAGGGACATAACTGAAGAACGGTAAAAGTGACACTAGCCAAATTTAGCTTGATCTGAGTTTTGTGGTAATAAGCATTGTGTGTAAGTCTCATAACATTTGGTTGAGGCTAACTTAAGTAGAGAACAGGAACTAAAAATTCAGCAATTTTTCTATTTGTAAACAGGCATAACTCTAGAACGGTTATGTATAAGTTTTATAACATTTGGTTGAGACAAACTAAAGTTAGAGAACGGAAACGAAAAATTCAGCAATTTTTATATTTATAAAGGGACATAACTCAAGAATGGTAAAAGTGTCTCCACCAAATTTCGTACTTAATCTGTATTATGTAGTAATAAGCATTGTGTATAAGTTTCATAACATTTGGTTGAGGCAAACTAAAGTTAGAAAACAGAAACAAAAAAATTGTACTTGATCTTAGTTTTGTGGTAATGAATATTGTGTATAGGTTTCATAATGTTTGGTTGGTGCAAACTTAAGTTACAGAATGGAAACTAAAAATTTTGCAATCTTTCGATTTATAAAGGGGCATAACTCAATAATGGTTAAAAATGTGACACTACCCAAATTCAACTTGATCTGTGTATTATCAGTGGAAGTTAAAATTAAACATTGCATTGTATAAAGCATTGATTGTAGTTGATTCAACTATACGATCACAAAAATTTTTTTGCTGTCGTATAAAAATTACTTGATATTTAGAAGAAAATATAAATTTTGCAATTTTTCCATTTATAAAGGTTCATAACTCTAGAACGGTTAAAGTGACGCCACCAAAATTCAAACTTGATCTGTGTTTTGTGGTAATAAGCATTGTGTAAAAGTTTCATAACATTTGGTTGAGGCAAACTTAAGTTAGGGAACGGAAACTTAACATTTTGCAATTTTTCCATTTATAAAGGGGCATAACTCTAGAACGGTTAAAGTGACGCCACCAAAATTCAAACTTGATCTGTGTTTTGTGGTAATGGGCATTTTGTATAAGTTTCAAAACATTTGGTTGAGGCAAACTTAAGTTAGAGAACGGAAACTTAACATTTTGCAATTTTTCCATTTATAAAGGGGCATAACTCTAGAACGGTTAAAGTGACGCCACCAAAATTCAAACTTGATCTGTGTTTTGTGGTAATGGGCATTTTGTATAAGTTTCAAAACATTTGGTTGAGGCAAACTTAAGTTAGAGAACGGAAACTTAACATTTTGCAATTTTTCCATTTATAAAGGGGCATAACTCTAGAACGGTTAAAGTAACGCCACCAAAATTCAAACTTGATCTGTGTTTTGTGGTAATAAGCATTGTGTATATGTTTCATAACATTTGGTTGAGGCAAACTCAAGTTAGAGAACGGAAACCAATTTTGGGACGTATGTACGTACAGACGGACAAGGATAAAACTTAATGCCCCCACCGCTACGGCGGTACGTACGTACATACAGACGGACAAGGGTAAAACTTAATGCCCCCACCGCTACGGCGGGGGCATAAAAATCATCAAACAAGTATATATATAAGATCATTTTAATTACATGTTTTATACATATATATACATATGTACACACTTAATAATACATCACTGTTGTATCACATAAATTAACAAATAATAATATTTCAATCAACAATAAATTGCATATTCAATATTTTGAAAATTAACAATTAAAGATCAAAAGATCAAATCTTTAATAGATCAAATAGTAGTTAGATATGTAAATACCATGAAAACATTGCAAAGATTTCTACAATGATTTACAAATGTTTGTTCAAGTAAATGTCAGATGTATGCTAATACTGAAATGTAAGACAGAAATTCCAGTTAAGATATTTTGATGTTACAGAATATTATCAAGCAGTTAAAGTATCTGCAAGATGAATTATTCCCCTTAATAATCCAATCATTTTTAATAAACAGTGAATCATAATATCTACTTGTTAGGTCTTTTATTGAATATTCAAATTCATTTCAAGGTATATTACACCAACTTTGACTAATATTTGACAGCTAAGCACATGTATCTAGTGTTGTTATTTTGGAATAGTATTCACTGTAAGGACATTACTTGTCTTTGGTCAGAATGCTTTACAATGTAATTATTGTAAGTGTTGAATATATCAATTATACCTACCCAAAAGTAACAGTGTAAAAATTTATGTTCCAGCATGTTATGAGTCAAGCAATTCAACACATGCTTGTTGTTACTCTGATAAGACTGAAAAATCCACTGGATATACTGAAAGATCTAGTAAACAGGAACAAAGAGAAAGAAATCCATAAAAATTACATAAACAAGAGTGCACACTGCACACGCTGAAATGTCTCGCCTGTTTTGCTTATCATTCAATTCAAGTTGAAAGTTTGTAATATTAAGGTTTTACTACAAGTATCACATAAATTTAACATTATCAATATTCTATGAAAATGAGGACATGGTCAGATGAACCATGCCCAACAGACATGTACACCTTACAATCTTTCCATACACCAAATATAGTGGTCCGATCGCTAATAGTACCTGAGATACAGATCAAACCACAAAATCTTAACATTGACCAATGAACCATGAAAATGAGGTCAAGTTCAGGTGAACCCTGCCTGACAGACATGTACACCTTACAATTATTCCATATACTAAATATAATTGACCTATTGCTTATAATATCTGAGAAATAGACCAAACCACAAAAACTAAGCATTGTCCAATGAACCATGAAATTGAGGCCAAGGTCAGATGAAACCTGCCAGTCTGACATTTTTACCTTACAATCATTCCATATAGTTGACCTATTGCTTATAGTATCTGTGATATGGACTTGACCATGTAACATAAACTTTGATCACTGATCCATGGGATGAGGTTGAGGTCAGGTGAACCCAACCTGACGGACATGTAGACCTTGCAAGAAACCCATATACCCAAATATAGTCACTGAACCATGAAAATGAGGTCAAGTACAATGGACAACCGGAATCTTCGAAACATAAAGTTTCTGCAAACAAGGTATGAAGCATCCAGGTCTTCTACCTTAGCTTCATACAAATAGGTTACCCTGCCACCACCGAAATGTCATGCCTATGTCTTGCATACTGCGACTTTAGCTGCAGGCGAGACAAAAATTAAAATCTTTGTGTCAACCCTTGTTGACCCTTATTACTCAATAAAATATATGGTAAATATAAAATACTACACAAGAACAATTATTTGCTGACAGCATAAAAACTACAACAAATTTGATAAGTTAATTAGGAAAATACTTGTAGAAGTACATATGCAACTAAATTGGACTTTCAAAGAAGCAAAAATGTTGGGTGTTAACTGTTCGACTCAAATCAGAAACCTTCAAGTATACCTTTATCTTTATTATGTACCAAGGATGATCAATTAGTACTAAAGTTTCCTAAAACTGCTTTGAAGTACAATTGAACCTAGATACATAAAAAATTCAGATTTAATTTAAACAAATCTTATTTATTTAAAGTAAAAAAAATGAGTCAGACACAGGTATATTGTTCTTATGTAGCCTTCTCCTGGATGCAAAATGAACAAAAAATACCGTTGATATGTCAAAGTTTGAAGTACAAGAATATTTGAGAAAAAAGAAAAAGATAAGTTCAAATTACTGAATAAATTATTCAAATGGAATGTTTTTATTTTGCATTCAAATGATTTAAAAAGATGAAGACTGGACTTTATCAGAAAGCGACGAAAGAGTATGTTGAATATATACTCCACTAAACCTGTTTTGTTCCCCAATTATTTCTGTAATTTATATTGACTTTAGCTGTAAACATTAGACACCTGCTTATTTCTCTGTCAATTTCTTTATTGAACATAATTAAATTAACTTTAGCTGTAAAGATACGATACATGGACATTTCTCTGTAACTAATACAAGAATTCAAATATATAAAAATATTCAACAAGTGAACGAACGACACATTAATTCACAAATGTGCGTAGCATATAAATTAATAACAGTGTTGTTCGGTCACAAGTTGAATACTTTTATTTTAATTCTTAGATTAGTTATTCTTTTTATTACATTGACCATGGACCATTTTAATGGAAATTAAGTAAAAAATGAAAGGGACTATATCTTTTTCTACGAATTCTCAATTGTATTGATGCCATGTCATCCGCAATGTCTTGACAAGACCCATTGTTATATGACGTCAGAGGATTGATATTATTAGATTTATTTCACATGTGAAATTATCGGTTTTTATTTCACTGGGAAATCACAACAATTCATTGCAACCAATGTAATAAAGTTCTTTATCTAATATATGTTATTTTGAATAAAATCGATGCAGATGGACTGGCATATAAAAGACTTTTTCAATATATCATACCATATTGACAATACAAGGTTCAATATTGAAATTAGTTATTTTGGGTCCCTTCAACTTTATCAAGACTGTAGCATGAAAGTAAGGATGATTTCTAGGCAAGTCAGACACTTGAAATATGAGAAGTCACATACTGATCTTTGTTTTTCAACAAATGATCATGAGCAATTAGTGTTACCATGTTACAGTTGATCATGGACGGAAAGAAAAAAACTTGCTAAAAGGCTCCTTATAAAGCTTCCATTTCATCAGAAGTTTATAAGTAATTGTTCATTATAGTGTTTTTCATGACTTATACCTCTTTTTAAACATATCAATAGCTAATGTTAAGAAACATATAAATACAACTGAGATATAAATACTTGTCATGAAATATGTCAATGCAATAAAAATATAAATAGTTGCTGTAATGTTAAATTGTCATTGTAAATGAGATAACGATATTGGACAGCTACTACTGACATCAAGGAAGAACGGTCCTTCTTGGCCTGGCAGGAATGTACTGGGCATAATATTATATAACCCACCTGATATTCTGCTTAGTTCTAGTACACAGTAGCCATTCCTGTAACAAAAGAAACATTTTAAATGATTTGAACATTTCTGCATATCTAAATTTCCAACCATGAACTTAAATATGCAGTGTAAATATTGTAGCTGACTGGTTTTATATTTCACAAAACTTGTTTGTAGCTAATTATATTAACTATGCAGACATGTGAATTATGTATCTTGATGATGCTTTAGCCTTTTATATTGTATAAAGTCTTTCTTTATGTTATTGATTATACACAGACAGTGTTTTTACATATAAACTTTAGTTATTCAAGAAATAAAGCTAGATCTGAGTTTATATTTAATTCAGCTGTACACTTACACACAAAACTGAGCCACGTTAAAACTCATTCAGCTCAATAACTCAACTATCATATAATTATTTTATACAATGATGATCACAGTTCTCTTTGTATTTGTTCAACATGTATTGGTTACTTTGGTGTTATATGGGCTTATTTCTTTATCAGCAAAAGTGAAAATCATGCCTTAAAGGCCAAATAATAAAGTACTATTCCTTACCAATGAACAATCTTCCGAATATACCTTTATTAAACACTTCTCAGATAATTCATTAACAATAAAAATTGCATAAAAATCACAAATAAATATCCTGACTGACACTATTTCATTAGCTGTTTTAATGTTTTTGAGGTTTTTAAATAGTGTTAGACATATTTCTTTTATATATCATAACTATATTTAGTGTATTACATATACATCAAGCATATGCTTCGACCTTCTACTTTTCTTTCCTTATATAAAACTACAATAACTACAAATGTATTATATAAATGATATGTAAATGTTATGGTCTCCTAATATTATTATTTGAAAATGTAACTTTTACTATATAATTTGGCTTCAGCTTAAGGGTGCTAAAAGGATTATTTTGGTATAAAAGGGTGAACATTATAATAACTACATGACCTGTAATCTCCTGAGGAAGTCTTTTTGAAAGCACCTGGTGCTCCTGGATTTGTTTCATTTACTGTTGTTATCTCAAATCCTACACTGTACTGTCTGCAAAAGTCAAAAATCAGCAGTAGTAGGTTTTATACATGAATGGTAAGAAGATAATATCATTTTCATTTTCAAATAAGTCAAATAAACCAACACCTTCTGTCGGTACAAGCTGGTCAAGTAATCGGGATGGATATTTACTGAACAAGAAATTGAATAGTCTACAAACTGCTTGAATCGACCAGAGAAATGACCTAATCAATAAATGACAAAAATCAAAGCTCACATACCCCTGGCCCCCCAAACCATATTAATTAAAAAGCTTTAACTCTGCTGATGGCTAAGTTATTTCCTGTTTAGATTAACTATGACCTTGACCTTAGATATAGTGACTTCAAAATCAATAGGAATCTTCCTCTCATAATATTTGACTATATATCCAAGAAAATGCTCTTCTTTGTAATATTAGATTTAGCATCATGAAACCTCTTTTCTGCACAAATAGCTTCAAGTAACCACCTTTTGGCACATACAAAATATTTAAAATACTGGATTAATATAGAAAAATACTCTGTATGTTTCTTAACCCCTGCACAAAAATTTAAAATAGATCAGAAGTGTAAAAAGTAGCTTTAAATTAACCAAATCAGTTGTAACATATTTTTTTATATCCTTATAATTTGATCAATCTAGCAAGTTTTATACATTGTGTCTAATACAATATTATGTAATATTCACATGATTCATTTTGAAAAATAAAAAAATAACCACAAAAAACATTGTGAAAAGTTACATATCTCCTGTCAAATTCCACATGTAGTACAGATGAAGGCAACAACGCAGACGAAATTGTGATTATTTTGTTATAAGAATGTGATCATTTAAAACCAAACATTGAACATTTGTCAATACACTTACAGTTATCCCCCCTGAGAATGTATTGTCTCTCCTCAAGTAAATTGTCTCAGTGGGTGTCTGACATAAACCCCAGAAAAAATATTCCAATTTTTTTATAAAGTCACATGCTTTATCATGTTAAATTGATACAGAAATTATAGTCATTGAACCAAGAAAATGAAGTCAAGAACCACAGACTTTTGCAAGATCATTGTTAAAATTTCAAATTATCAGTTAACTTTACCTTCTTACCATAAATTGTCGTCTGCATGAAACACACACTTTCCTTTTTATGACTGCTACTTTATTATAATTATATGAACAATTTGACTTACTTAGGTCCAAGCAGTTCTATCAGTATAAAATTATCTGTTCCATTCCCATCCACCCGTAGTTGATATATTGGATTTTTACTATGACTTTCCCTGTAATTTCCACATCCACCAGCAGAAGGTCCACTCCAATTACCACTGACCTGTAAAATTGTTATCCAAGGAATTAATATTCTAATTGACTAGTCTTATTTTCTGTTTTCTGTTAGCTGTATTTTTTAATTTTTTTTCCTACATATTCACAAGTTTTCATCTTGAACATCGATTTCATTTTAATAACCCCCTCCCCTTTTCTCTATTTATAAAGAAAAAGTTGTTTGTTTATTCTTACTAGGATAAAATATGCCAATCAAATCCCTGTAATGTCATTGTGAAAATCTTTAATACAAGATCACATATATAAATTACTTAATTTCCTTGTTAAAACTAATCATTTCTATTTACAATATCAGTTAAAGGAGAAAACATTAAACAAGTCTCACTGCCAACTTGGATTTGTTTCTTTTTTCTTAAATTGTAATCATAAGTTTTTAAAATGTATATACATTAAAATTTATAATTTTTTCAATGAAACATATTTTCTTAAAACATTTTGTCTCTTGATTTAAGACACAGTTCCTGACTTATTCATGTGACTTTGCCAAGGGAGATAATTTTGCAACAAAAAAAAGTGTTCAATTCAGGGGGAGATAATCAAACTGGACATTACTGCAAATCAACCAAATTTTACATAAAAGAGCAACATATCAAAAATTCTTTGCCTAACAAAAAACGTGATTGACCTCAACATTCTTCCCCTTCCCAAAAAAAGAAGTTTTCAATGTTTACAGATTAGTTTTGTTTAATTGCCTAAGAATGATTTTCCCAAAAATAATAAGTTTGTAATCAATATTTCTAAATAAATGGAGAATGTGTCCCCATGGACACAGATGATGCCCCCACTTGCATACAGTATAAAGGGACATAACTGAAGAACAATAAAAGTGATGCTACCCAAATTTGTACTTGATCTTAGTTTTGTGGTAATGAAAGAACCTTAGTGAGCGCGCTCACATACCCCACGTCCCCACATTGTCATTGGAGAAATAAAATAAGTGTAAGAAAAAAAAATTGTATCAGAAAAAAAAATTGAATCATAATTTCCTGTCAATATGTACATCTACATAGTATGTCCTTATTATCTACACAGTTTCATGAAATTCTGTTGTGTGGTTTGAGAGGAGTTGCGATGACAAAAGGTTGCAGTAGTATATTGGGCAAATAAGTTCAAAGGGGCGTAACTCCTGGGAAAAAAATTGAATCGTAATTCCCTGTCGATATGCACATCTATGTAGTATGTCCTTATTATCTGAAAAGGTTTCATGAAATTCTGTTGTGTGGTTTGAGAGGAGTTGCGATGACAAAAGGTTGCAGTAGTATATTGGGCAAATAAGTTCAAAGGGGCGTAACTCCTGGAAAAAAAATTGAATCCTAATTTCCTGTCGATATGCACATCTACGTAGTATGTCCTTATTATCTGAAAAGGTTTCATGAAATTCTGTTGTGTGGTTTGAGAGGAGTTGCGATGACAAAAGGTTGCAGTAGTATATTGGGCAAATAAGTTCAAAGGGGCGTAATGCTGGAAAAAAAATTGAATCGTAATTTCCTGTCGATATGCACATCTACGTAGTATGTCCTTATTATCTACACAGTTTCATGAAATTCTGTTGTGTGGTTTGAGAGGAGTTGCGATGACAAACTGTTGCAGTAGTACATTAAAGTAAATAAGTTCAAAGGGGCGTAACTCCTAGAAAAAGAATTGAATCGTAATTTCCTGTTGATATGCACAACTACATAGTATGTCCTTATTATCTAAAAAGGTTTTGTGAAATTCTGTTGTGTGGTTTGAGAGGAGTTGCGATGACAAGAAACAGGACTGACGGACTGACGGACGGACGGACGGACGGACAGACGGACGGGTCAAAAACATTATACCCTACGCAACTCGTTGCGTGGGGTATAATTAGTATTGTGTATAGGTTTCATGTTTGGTTGGGGTAAACCTAAGTTACAGAACGGAAACTAAAAACTTTGCAATTTTTCGATTTATAAAGGGGCATTACTCAATAATGGTTAAAGTGACACTACCCAAATTCAACTTGATCTGTGTTTTATCAGTGGAAGGCAAAATTAAACATTGCATTGTATAAAGCATTGATTGTAGATGATTCAACTATAATCATGGACAAAGGAAGATAACTCCAATTTTAAAAATTACTTGAACAATGACATCATTGATATTTTTAGAAAAAAAAATGAAAAATTTAGCAATTTTTCCATTTGTAAAGGGGCATAACTCTAGAACAGTAAAAGTGACGCCACAAAAATCCAAACTTGATCTGTGTATTGTAGTAATAAGCATTGTGTATAAGTTTCAAAACATTTGGTTGAGGCAAACTTAAGTTAGAGAACGGAAACTAAAAATTTTGCAATTTTTCCATTTATAAAGGGGCATAACTCTAGAACGGTTAAAGACGCCACCAAAATTCAAACTTGATCTGTGTTTTGTGGTAATAAGCATTGTGTATAAGTTTGATAACATTTGGTTGAGGCAAAATTAAGTTCGAGAACGGAAACCAATTTTGGGACGTACATACGTTTGGACAGACGGACAAGGGTAAAACTTAATGCCCCCTCTGCTTAGGCGGGGGCATAGAAAAACAAACAAACAGGCATAGTGACCTTTATTTTTTAAATTGACTTTTAAATGAATATTCATTTAGCTTCTATTTTTCACAGAAATTGAAGGAAAATCTGTAGTAAGTATATAAATGTAGGATTTGTGACCAAACAATTTTTAATGAAGACAATAAAGAAAACTAGTGTTTATATTCATCTGATATTTTCCTTGAACAATTCAAGTCTCATTCAATTAAAACTACACTATACCTCTTACTTTTTCAAAGTAAATTGGCCATGTTTATTTAGTCAAAAATTTCAAGTAAAATGGAATATGAATTCGGCAAAGCCTTATGAATAAATTCTCTAGTAAGAGTTGTTGATCAAAACAATTACCCTTCTTTCATATTCCTTTTTATAAGGATCAGTAATTCTGCTGAGGGAAAATTCACAAGAGGAATAAACCCTGAGTGTATAACTGATTGTGTTGTTTTTCTCATATTGTGATATCACTAGTGTGTATTTTGAGATTCCTTTAGGTTCTACCATTTTACACAAGTAGTGGGGACTGTTGATACGAACTCCATCTTTGTAAGGTGCTGGACTATCTATAAAAACAATAATTTCATGAATTGGTTTAAAAGAGACATATCACCATTTCAATTAATATGGAAATATAAGCTTATGTTCACTAGATTTCTAAACAAAAATTTAGGTGGGCCTAAATAAAAAAACAACATTAAATGACACACACAGAGGAAGAAGCAAACTAAAATATAAACACATAAACTGTGGTAGAATTACTATATTTGGACAACTTTCATGTTTTAAGGGGGATAATGTTATTTCATATGTTCTGAAGTTAAAGTTTTTGAAACTAAAATATGAATTTCAAAATGATTATAATAATCATGTATGCATGTCTTATAATTGATTTGATGTCATTTGTCTCGTATACTGTGGTAAATATTCCATGCATACTCAGAAAGATTGTAATACAGATATTGTATAAGATTGGTAAATATTCCATGCATACTCAGAAAGATTGTAATACAGATATTGTGTAAGATTGGTAAATATTCCATGCATACTCAGAAAGATTGTAATACAGATATTGTGTAAGATTGGTGAATATTCCATGCATACTCAGAAAGATTGTAATACAGATATTGTGTAAGATTGGTAAATATTCCATGCATACTCAGAAAGATTGTAATACAGATATTGTGTAAGATTGGTAAATATTCCATGCATACTCAGAAAGATTGTAATACAGATATTGTGTAAGATTGGTAAATATTCCATGCATACTCAGGAAGATTGTAATACAGATATTGTGTAAGATTGGTAAATATTCCATGCATACTCAGAAAGATTGTAATACAGATATTGTGTAAGATTGGTGAATATTCCATGCATGCTCAGAAAGATTTTAATACAGATATTGTGTAAGATTGGTGAATATTCCATGCATACTCAGAAAGATTGTAATACAGATATTGTGTAAGATTGGTAAATATTCCATGCATACTCAGAAAGATTGTAATACAGATATTGTGTAAGTTTGGTAAATATTCCATGCATACTCAGGAAGATTGTAATACAGATATTGTGTAAGATTGGTGAATATTCCATGCATACTCAGAAAGATTGTAATACAGATTTTGTGTAAGATTGGTGAATATTCCATGCATACTCAGAAAGATTGTAATACAGATATTGTGTAAGATTGGTAAATATTCCATGCATACTCAGAAAGATTGTAATACAGATATTGTGTAAGATTGGTGAATATTCCATGCATACTCAGAAAGATTATAATACAGATATTGTGTAAGATTGGTAAATTTCCATGCATACTCAGAAAGATTGTAATACAGATATTGTGTAAGATTGGTAAATATTCCATGCATACTCAGAAAGATTGTAATACAGATATTGTGTAAGATTGGTAAATATTCCATGCATACTCAGAAAGATTGTAATACAGATATTGTGTAAGATTGGTAAATCTTCCATGCATATTCAGGAAGATTGTAATACTGATATTGTGTAAGATTGGTAAATATTCCATGCATACTCAGAAAGATTGTAATACAGATATTGTGTAAGATTGGTAAATATTCCATGCATACTCAGAAAGATTGTAATACAGATATTGTGTAAGATTGGTAAATATTCCATGCATATTCAGGAAGATTGTAATACAGATATTGTGTAAGATTGGTACATATTTCATGCATATTCAGGGTTGATTGCATCAAAGATTTACTAAAAGATTGGTATATATTCCATGCATATTCAGGACAATTGTGATACATATATAGTGTTTGATAAAAATCAAATCATCAATCTTCGTGTTTAATGTTAAACTGAACATACATGGATAGTAGACCTTTTGTCCGTTATTTTTGTATACTAGCAGTGTTATAAATTCTCTATTATCAGCAAAGTCATCCTGAAAATAGAACAAACCATAATGAATACTGTAAACCAACTAATTTTGGCGACTTTCATAAGAAGAAAATATGTGAATATGAAAAACTTGGATCTTCTAAAAAAACTTGGATACATCAAGAAAAATTTTTAAAAATTGCTGCAATGTTGTCTAGAGAGGGCTTAACGCAAAATAAAGCATCTGCAAAAATATGTTGGTTTACTGTATGTATTTTTAAATCAACTGCATCATTTTCCTTTATTATGTCATTAAATCTTAATTTCATTATAATCTAACCATGCTTTAGGTGTACCTCTCTATAGCAAATCACAGCCTTTATTTGGTACAAACATTTCTTTCTTGAAAAAAGGCAGTAGGTTAACCTCAAGAGAAAAAAACAAATATTTTCTTCCTGACAATGATTTCTGTATATAAGTTTTAATATACTGGTGTAGCTCAACATGTTGAAGACAATATGAGCTTATATCACATTTAATGATCTTTTTCATCTATGATAGGGCAAATTGTATATCCACACAGAGGTCTTTAATATTCTTAATTCAAATTTGTAAAGTGAATTATATGGTATGAACAATTAACAATGGTTTTACCATATTTGTGTTTGGTCTTGTCAACGATATGATGTAGAAATAAACTTGTGCGATATAAATATTATATTCAAATATCCTGCATCTATTATTTGTATTTAGAATAAAGACAATGACTAAGTATTATAAAACGAAATATTAAAGTGTTATATATAAAATTGCAAAATAAAAGTAATACACATGTAATGTCAGAAAATGGAAAAATTATTTGAACCAACTATGAAAGGAATGAAAAGTTCTGACAGCATGCCTCACATGTGATGTGTTTCAACCAACCATCTTTGTACAAATGAATTGTAAATTTTCTGACAATGTTTTTGTATGTATGTATTCACATTGGTAAAACCTGTTGATTCCCAGATTCTAACATGTGCTGTACATTAGAATGTTTAGGTCAATCAACATACTGGTACTTTAGAGTGGAATTACCTTATCTGTGATATGTCTTGTCAGCAGTATCCAAACGGCAGAAGCCTGTGGTGCCCTGAGTTCTAACCTGTATTGTGGATTGTCACTTATATTATAAGCATCTCTTTTTGGTCCATCTTTGGCAGGCCATACACTGAAAGTTAGACATTTTTTATATACAAGATAAAGTTCAGACACAAAATCATATAAAGCAAACAAGAGAACTCACTACATTTTAACTAATCACAATTGTCATGTTATATTAATAGTTAATTTCATTTATATAATATATAAAATGTGGTACATATAATAAAATATATCATAAAAGTTTTTTAGAAAATTCCATAGCCCATTTTGAAGTAAAATTACAAATTTACTATTATAAGGAGATAAGTGAATAAGTTATAAGTGTTCTCCTACTTTAACCAAAATAAGATAACTGAATGTAAAATTTACAGGATTATTTAAAGGTACAACAGAAACAAAAAAAAATAACATAACATTTTACCTGTGTATACCGTGAGTGTATCTAAACAGTTCTGGATTCCAATTTATATAAATAACGTCATAAAATCTACACAATGAGTCATAATCAATCCAGAAAACACCTGTAAAAAATAGCCATAAATTGTTATATATTGAAATACTGTATCTTTAAACCTTAGAAAAGCTATACACCAATCCATATACTATGACATGTATGAGAACCAAAACATTCAATTTTACTGATATATAAACAAGTGAGTAATACATTATTGCTATCATCTTAAATTTTCCATTTGATCTTTCTGCATTATAATTTTCAATCAAAGCTGATGGGTTTTTCTCACATCTCATCTAAGGGCTATTACCCATTAATGAGATAGTAGCTGAGAAACTCCCTCTCCTTTTCATAACCATAGATAATCTATCATTATATAACAGTTGCAACACTTATTGCACAAACAAGGGCATCACACAACAATTTATCATATGACATACTGTCAGGGAAAGGGGATAAAGGATATGGACAGGGAATATGAGCCCATATCCTCTGTTAATATAAAAAATAAGAAAATGTGGTATGATTGCCAATGAGGCAATTCTCCACCAAAGACCAAATGACATAGAAGTAAGCAACTATAAGTCACTCTATGGCCATTAACAATTAGTAAAACCCATACCTAAGCCTGAATAACAATTCTATTATATTGGTGTCTTAATTTCAACATTGATTACCATAAGGCATTTAGATCTTTGGTTTTTTTTTCACAAGGTACAGGGGATCATATCAAATCAAATTGCATGATTATCTTGGATAGATCACTCCAGTATAATGTAAATTCATGATAGATTTGAAATGTCCTGGAATACTCATTTTTTTAAATAAAAAAAAAACAAACCTGGTTTCATTTCAAAGTGCTTAAAATTCTCATTTGACTTTTAAAAATCACCACTAAACTTGCACACAATTTGTTCACATTAATAACAGACTTCTGGAGTTTCCCATAGCCAAACACAAATTTTTCGTTGTGTGTCAAAGTGGATATATATATATCTCTAACCACTATTCATAATCAGACCACTCAAGATTAAATTGCTTTGCCGAGCGCAGCTGGATACGACCCCAGAGATCCAACCCTGAACAGTTGGGGCAAAAATGGACACAATATTCGCGCTTGATACAGGTCTGAATTTGGATTGTAATTAAATATTTGACACATAATAGGTTTCTGACACAGAATAACTGTAGTCAAAGAACTCAGAATTGGATATATGATTTGAATTTATATTCAATTTTTTATGCTTTTGTGCAATACACTATGCTGTTGCGAATTGACCCCCCCCCCCCAAAAAAAAAATTTAACCCCCCCTCCCTTCCCTTTTTTTTGCAAAAAAAAAAATATTTGAAGAAATTTTCTTTTTAATTTTTGAAATCTGAAATTAGAAAAAAATTGTCCCCCACCCCCTCACAATTTCTTTTTACCCCCCCCCCCCCCCAATTTTTTTTCACCTCCCCCTCCCCTTTTTCCAAAAAAAAAAATTCTTTCCCTCAAGATATGGTCATAATCTCAATTCAAATTACCAATGGAGTTTGCAACCATAATTACCCATTTAAATACATCATATAAAAGTCTTAAAATAGAAAATGACATACATAATCATGGCTAAAATTAATATTCCTTAATAAGCATCTTTAAATAGTAACTTCTAAAAATAAATTGACAGCTAATCACCTCAAGACAATACAACATTTCTTTATACATAATTTAAAAGCAGTGTAAGGGAGGTAATCCAAACATAACATTGTACTTTTTTTTAATTGTCCATTAACCAGGAAACCCTTGTTTTCCCCCTTTTTTTGCCCCTAATTCCTAAACGGTTTGAGCCATAACCCCCAAAGCCAATCCTAACCATCCCTTTGTGGTATGGAAATTTGTGGTATAATTTCAGAGAGATCCATACACCGTTCCACCAGTTATTGTCTGGAAACTAGAAAAATGCTTATTTGGGCCCCTTTTTGGCCCCTAATTCCTAAATTGTTAGGACTATAACCCCCAAAATCAATCCCAATCTTCCTTTGGTGGTTATGAACCTTGTGTTTAAATTTCATAGATTTCTATTTACATTTACTAAAGTTATTGTCCGAAAACCAAATGTCTTTGGATGACGCTGATGACGACGACGTGATACCAATATACGAACGCAAAATTTTTTGCGGTCGTATAAAAAGCAACCAAAGTTGAAAAGATTTTTCGAAAGGTAATGAAGAGGGGTATATTGCCTGTTAGAGACCACCTTTAAATCTTTTAACCTTAAGCATAATAATTAAAAGATTGTATAGAAAACGGTCTGCACATGCTATTATAATATCTTAATTTTATACCAAATAAAGCCTCCAACACATCTCTTTCTACAGTTGTTATTAGTACTTTAATAGTGACAGCATTTAATTTTAGTTAATATCTTACCATTGTCAAATTGTTGAGCACTTTTAGGATCATAGTTTAAAGCTTTCTGCATTTCTGGTGTCCAATTTGGTGCATCATTTTCACTGAAATTCCCTTTCCATCTTAAATGATTCCAGGGATTTTTTAACATAAATAGCTTTTTTCCCTGAAATAAAAGCATATATAGAATGTATTATTTTTACCCCAAGAAATGTACATATCAATGTACTGTGGACTCATTATAATTCGAGGAATACCAATTATCGTGGATTTCGTGGATATAGGTAAACCATGAATTTTCATGTATAAATGTTCTATATGATTGTATACAGACTTTGGGAAAACCATGAAATCAAATATCCACAAAAACATTATTTATACTCAATCCACGAAAAAATAAATGAATCCACAATATAAGGTTTCAAATACAAAAAGTACAACCATTTGAAAAAGGCTGAAAAGAAAATCTCTGTCAATATTTGCTTTAAGTATTAGTCCCAGCACCTTATAATAAAAGGGGTCTCGGTGGGCGAGTGGTTTAAGTAGCTGAACTACTATATCACTAGCCTGTCAACACTAAGATTGTGACACGTGGCAGGTGCTCTCAACACCAATCTTAATTGACTAGGATTGGCAGTTCTATCAAAGGTCATGGTTCTCTCCGGGCACTCCAGCTTCATCCACCAATAAAAACTGACTGCCACGAAATAGCACAATGGTGCTGAAAGTGGTTTTTAACACCAATCAATCAATCCTTGTAATAAACAACTAAAAAATTTTTAGAACATGGAAGCAGCAACTACACTGAAATGAATGCAATCACATGGATGTTAAGATTTATATTGATACTTTGAATACAACTACTCCTACATTTCAATTTACTTCATATAAAAAATCTGTTTACTAACATTACTTAATAATCCAACTTTCCCTATATTCCAGCATTACCTTAACCTCTCTGATATCTAACATTGCATATGCATGGGTAGGAACAAGCCCTGCTCTGTCAGCCTCAGTTTCAGGTATCTCTCCTGTTGCTATAGTAATAAGACAATGCCCCTGATGAAACCGTTCATAGATTCGTTTAAATTCTTTGTCTTTATTGAATTCATCTGAATTGTTCCTAATAGCTACTCGCTCTGGAATCCAACCAGTCAAGGCATTCAGATCTATATTCTAAAATTCCAAAAAAATATTTCATGGTAGAGAATTTTTAAAATTTAACATTATCATAAGCATAAAAATTTCACTTGTAGATATAATTTGGAAATCGTTCATGGTGAATTATTTTTATTGTTATTTTGTTTTATTACAATATTTTCATATTCTATCATTTTTGCAGACCATACCTGATTTATTATTGTTTGGCATCGGAAAAATAAAAGTCCTACCATCTTTACTATCCAGACAAAAATTCAGATTATCTGAAGGTCAACATACATTTTATTCTAATCATATCTTTTCCCCATGGATTTGATTGAAAGCTTTATTCTACCTACATTCTTAGGTCATAAGTGTTTCACCACTAGGAAATATCACTTTATATTTCAAATCAATACACATTTTTATAACATTGTCAAAAACTTATTTCAGGTCCAATTTTTATGAATATTTTACTTTTAAACTTATATGTACAGCTTCTTTTATGTTAGAATGAAGTATTTTTATGACATGTTATTACTGAGAAATCATTATTTATATACAACAAGTGAAACTGCGAGCTACTGCTCACTGATGATACCCCCAGCCCAAATATGCATTTGTTGTTGAGTGCTGAATCTGAAAACGCATCACACGGTATAGCTGACTTATATAAACCCTGAAACCAAATTTCAGAAATCCTTATGATGTAGTTCCTGAAAAAGATGCGACGAGAAATATTCATTGGACGGATGGATGGATGGATGGATGGATGGATGGATGGACGGATGGATGGACGGACAGACAGAGGTAAAACAGTATACCCCCACTTTTTTAAAGCGTGGGTATAAATATTGAAATTATTGTAATTTTTTCCTATATAGCCATACAACCTTTTTTGTGCAGAAATTCATATTTCTCTTTTATCAATGATTTTCACAAAAGTATAAATAAAAAAAATCTATATCTTATTGAAAAAATGTCATTCAATTCAGACAAGAAATAACTTAAGTAGAATTTTGATTAAAATGTGTTTATGTATGAAACATATAGGGAAAATTTCAAATGGTTGACCTCTGACTATAAATATCATAATTTTTTGTTGTTGCAATCCTAGTACAAAATGATATTTCGTAAAAGTTTGTTTTTTTTTTTATCAAAAACTGACTTTTTACCCTCATTTTTAAATTCTAACAACAGGAATCATCTTAGAACAGCATTTTATGTCTTAATGTCAATGTTCTTTGAAATTCTACCACAAAACTGATGTTTTAATATCTGAACAGTATCGGTAAAAGAATCAATTTATTATCAATGCCTATACTAATTACATACATGACTTTACCATATTTTTTTTAACAATCATAAAAAACCTTTAAATAATTTTGGCTGTTACACCACTGTCCCAGCTTAAGAGGAGGACTAGGTGCCCATAAACATGTTTAACCCCGCCACATTCTTTATGTACCTGTCCCATATCAGAAGCCTGTAATTTAGTGGTTGTAGTTTGTTACTGTATATTATATTTGTTTTTGTTTATTGTTTTGTTCATATTCAGGCCATTAATTTTCTTGTTTGAACTGTTTTACATTTGTCATGTCAGGGTCCATGAAATGCTTGGTATGAAGTATGGGTTTTGCTCATTGTTGAAGGCCATACAATAACCTATAGTTTTTAACTTTTTACGTCATTTGGTCTCTGGTGGAAAGTTGTCTCATTGGCCATCATACCACATCTTCTTATTTTTATATTTAACATGATGTTGCTTTCGTAAGATGTAACATCAAGTTTTGTCTGCATATGGGCCCATATACCATCAGTTAGTAGCACAATACAGCCCCATAAGGCATTGTTCTCACCCCATATAATAGAGTAACTGTTTTCAGAAGCAAGACAATAAATATCAAAACACTTATGTTATCTCAACAACCTATTTATAACAATCAATGTCAATAAACAAGATATATCCATACTCTTTACATACTGTGGATTTCTATATTTATCTATTTTTGTGGTTACCAATTTTTTGTGGACTGAGGGAATATTGCACTTTCTTGGATATTTGATTTCATGGTTTTGTCAAAATCTGCATACAAGTGTATGGAAAATTTGTACTTCATTTAAATTTAAATTCACCTTTATCCCCTTAATCCACAATAATTGGTATCCCATGAATGAAAATGAATCCACAGTACTGAAAAAAATGACTCCTAACCATAATAACTTGGTTATCTAAGGTTTGAATGTTTGCTTGATGAAACTGTCAGCTTAAAATAAGTGATACTTACTGAATTAGAACCAGGGAAATCATATCCTCCCATCACCTTCATGTAAGCCTTTTCCAACAATGAAACCCATAACTCATTTTTATTGTTAGAAAATGAACACAAAAGTTCTCTGTCTTTCCCCATTGGTAGAAAGTCATCCACAACCACCTGAAGATAATATTTGAATAAATTAGATCTTGCATATTTAAAGAATATATCTATAATACAACTTGTGTGCAATATTCAAATAATATACACATATCATCTCCTGGCAACCTGCTCAAATTATGAGCAAACATATAATATTCAAATCCCTTGTCATATCACAGTGCGTTTGGGGGTCTAGCTTCCAAGCAGTGTTGATTTAAAAAAGGAAAGTAATGTACATTGATACCTTTCTGGAAAACTCAATTAATGTGAGACATGTACAATGTAACCTTTCTGTTCAACCTAATATTGTGTGAAATGTACAATGTTACCTTTCTGTACATTCTAATGTTGTGTGACATGTACAATGTTACCTTTCTGTACATTCTAATGTTGTGTGACATGTACAATATTACCTTTCTGTACATTCTAATGTTGTGTGACATGTACAATATTACCTTTCTGTACATCCTAATATTGTTTGACATGTACTATGTTACCTTTCTGTACATCCTAATATTGTTTGACATGTACAATGTAACCTTTCTGTACATCCTTATATTGTGTGACATGTACAATGTTACCTTCTGTACATCCTTATGTTGTGTGACATGTACAATGTTACCTTTCTGTACATTCTAATGTTGTATGACATGTACAATGTAACCTTTCTGTACATCCTAATATTGTTCGACATGTACTATGTTACCTTTCAGTACATCCTAATGTTGTGTGACATGTACAATGTTACCTTTCTGTACATTCTAATGTTGTATGACATGTACAATGTAACCTTTCTGTACATCCTAATATTGTATGATATGTACAATGTAACCTTTCTGTACATCCTTACATTGTGTGTCATGTACAATGTTACCTTCTGTACATCCTAATATTGTTTGACATGTAGAATGATACATTTCTGTACATCCTTATATTGTTTGACATGTAAAGTGTTACCTTTCTAATCACCTTAATATCAAGTGACATGTACAATATAATCCTTCTTTAAACCTTATATTGTGTGATATATGTAATGTTACCTTTCTGTAGACTCCATTGAGGTGAAGTTTAATCATATATTTCCCACATGGATTGAAAACTGGATCACCATTTTTGTTCTGAGGATAAATTATCCTGAAAGTAACGTACATACATAAAAATAAAATGCTCCGCAGGGCGCAGCTTGATACGACCGCAGAGGTCGAACCCTGAACAGTTGGGGCAAGTATGGACACAACATTCAAGCTTGATACAGCTTTGCATTTGGATTGTGATTAAATATTTGACACAGCATAGGTTTCTGACACAGAATGAATGTGGTCTAAGAACTTAAAAATTTTAAATTGGACATTCACCTATTATGGTCCAATATCCAAAATCTAAATACATGGTTAGATTCAGCATATCAAAGAACCCCAAGAATTCAATTTTTGATGAAATCAAACAAAGTTTAATATTGGACCCTTTTGACCTCAATGTGGACAAAGTTGATAACGGGGCCCAAAAATCAAAAATCTAAATACATGGTTAGATTCAGCATATCAAAGAACCCCATATATTCAATTTTTGTTGAAATCAAACAAAGTTTAATTTTGGACCCCGATTTGGACCAACTTGAAAACTGGGCCCATTATCAAAAATCTAAATACATGTTTAGATTCAGCATATCAAAGAACCCTAAGAATTCCATTTTTGTTAAAATCAAACTAAGTTTAATTTTGGACCCTTTGGACCTTAATGTAGACCAATTTGAAAACGGAACCAAAAATTAAGAATCTAAATACACAGTTAGATTCGACATATCAAAGAACCCCAATAATTTAATTTTTGATGAAATCAAACAAAGTTTAATTTTGGACCCTTTGGACCTCAATGTGGACCAATTTAAAAACGGCGCCCAAAATCCAAAAACTTAATACACGGTTAGATTCAGCATATTAAAGAACCCCAAGAATTCAAGAATAAAACCCCATTGAAATTGGTCAAGAAATAAGCAATTTATACGAAGTATCTTCTTTTGCACAATACTGTGCAATTGAATATTTCCTGCTATTGCGCAATACTGTACAATTGACAATTTCTTGCTATTGCGCAATACTGTGCTATTGGATATTTCTTGCTATTGCGCAATACTGTGCAATTGAAGATTTCTTGCTATTGCGCAATACTGTGCAATTGAAGATTTCTTGCTATTGTGCAATACTGTGCAATTGAAAATTTCTTGCTATTGCACAATACTTATTATATAAAAATTTACACATCCTGTTTGGTGTGTATCTCCTACCATATCATTATTATTTGCTTTTAAATATAAATCAGAAATAACCAACTTAAAATGGAAAATTTTAAAAGAAAAAAAAAAGGAAAAAAAGAAAAAAAAGGAAAAAAAAAAATCCCCCCCCAAATTTTTTGAACCCCCTTATGATTCATCACCCCAAACTCAATCCCAGCCTTCCCTTTGTGGTATGGTACCTTGCAGTACAATTTCAGAGAGATCCATACACTTGAACACAAGTTATTGTCTGGAAACTAAAAAAAATGTGTTTTTTGGCCCCTTTTTGGCCCCAAATTCCTAAACGTTTAGGGCAATTACCCCCAAACTCAATTCCAGCTTTCCCTTTGTGATATGGAACCTTGTAGTACAATTTCAGAAAGATCCATACACTTACACACAAGTTATTATCATGAAACTAGAAAAATGCTTGTTTTTTGCCCCTTTTTTGGCCCCTAATTCCTAATATTTTGAGGCAATTACCCCCAAAATCAATCCCAGCATTCCCTGTGTGATATGGAACCTTGTGGTACAATTTCAGAGAGATCCATACACTTTAACACAAGTTATTGTCTGGAAACTAGAAAAATGCTTATTTTTGGCCCCTTTTTGGCCCCTTATTCCTAAACGTTTTGGGCAATTACCCCCAAACTCAATTCCAGCTTTCCCTTTGTGATATGGAACCTTGTAGTACAATTTCAGAAAGATCCATACACTTACACACAAGTTATTATCATGAAACTAGAAAAATGCTTGTTTTTTGCCCCTTTTTTGGCCCCTAATTCCTAAAATTTTGAGGCAATTACCCCCAAAATCAATCCCAGCATTCCTTTTGTGATATGGAACCTTGTGGTACAATGTCAGAGAGATCCATACACTAACACACAAGTTATGTCTGGAAGTTACAAAAATGCTTATTTTTGGCCCCTTTTGGCCCCTAATTCCTTTACTGTTGGTACCATAACCCCCAAAATCAATCCCAACCTTCCTTTTGTGGTATTGAACCTTATGGTAAAATTTCATAGAGATCCATTCACTTAAACTAAAGTTAGAGTGCGAAAACCAATGTGTCTTCGGACGACGCCGGACGCCGGACGACGACGACGACGACGACGCCAACGTCATACCAATATACGACCACAAAAATTTTTTTGCGGTCGTATAAAAAGTTCTTAACAAATTTCTGCTCTTATTTTCCATTTTGTGGTCCAAGATTTTCTTTGGCAGGAAAAGAGTCTTGTTTAAATAAATTATCTGAAATTACAGTTATCTTATTTTGCATATGTTTAAATGAATTAATATCAGAAAACTTAAAATATGGGCTTAAATGTTTTAATTTTGCCGAAATGCTGACAAACTCTCAAAAATGCATATTATCATCACTTAAGACAATCCAATTATTTACAGTTACCCTCAAATTACCTTTAATGTAAAACTTATCCAACTTCAATGAATGGGTGAAATAAAGGTCACAATGAGATACTTTTGTTTGGATTCTGACATACTACCCAAAATGCATACTAACAGGATTTAGATCCTATTACTGATGGGTAATGCAATATCAAATCAGATATGAACTTAACCAAAGTAAACAAAGCATGACATGTAGGTCACATTGACATATTGCCTATATGCTGAGCCATGTGAAAATATGCATTTTGGCTCAGCAACAGTCATATAAAAATTAGAAGATAACAACTATAGGTCACCGTACCGCCTTCAATAATAAGCAAAAACCCAAACTGCATAATTTTAAGTAGATTTTAATATGTTCAGTATAATAAATTAAATAATTTACCAAAATAACATTTACTAAAAGGGAGATAATGGAGAATATTTGTATAGTAGCTATTTAAAAAAATATCACACACCTTGTAATCAGTTTCTTTTTAAATCTTCTCTCATACTGAGCACTGATGGCCAGTGAAGCTACAAAACTACAGTCACTAACAATGGTCTAAAATAAAATAATAAAGGTATTATCGGCAATCCTTAAAAATGGTATAAACCAAAATAATGAAGCCTATAAACAAGTCACAAACAATGGTCAGAAATAAAATTTCTAAAAAAATTCCACCAAAATTAAACAAATTCTTCTTTTGTTAACCTGCAGACATATTTGGGGTTTTTATTGGTCATTGGGTTGCTGTTTTTGTTAGATATATACACCACATCTACTTTTATTCATATGAAAAAAAAGAAATTTAGAAGAAAAAAAAATGTATCATATATTCAATCAGAAAATTGATCTTCATTGCATCCTATTTAAGAAGATATAATTTGACAGACTTTTATGTTAATTAACTTATATCATTGAATTGAAACAATCAATTTGCATAAATACATAAACTGAAAGTTAAGAAATTCTACTAAAAATCTAATTGTGCCTCTTGTGTGCATATTTTCCCATAAGGACTCAGGATTCTTCTTTCAGCTGAGTCCTGTAGTTGTTTCTAGTTATAATCTCACGAAAACAGATTATTGTCTATATCAATCAGTTTTCCATCTGTAATTTTTACTTGACCAGTTAAAGAAATTCTGTTAGTATTTATCCAGTCTCTATTTTTCGTGATCTTTTTTCTGTTCATTCCTATTCAAACACAGCTCTATGATATATACCTGTTTGATGCTAAAACATGAGATGGCATATATCAGTTGTGGATTATCACAGAATTCTTCTGGTCTTACCCATCCTCCAAACCTTTCTCTCTGTTTAGGTGACAAAGCTAACTTCCCACATTTATCACTGCAGAAATACAAAACAGTCTATTTTTAGAACAGTTAACAAATAACATATCAATCAGTTCTCTTTAACAATATGTAGCAAGTGAGCCATAAATTTATAAACTGCTTGACCTACCCAAATAAGTTACTTAAATCTTCTCTAATGGCTGATAATACAGGATACATCCCATGAACAAGTATACTTTACAACCATGAAGAGTTCAGCTTAAATCCATATGAATGAATGTACACCTTTGAAAGCTTTATAAACACTTATGATAAAAGCAGAAATTCATAAATAAGCTGCTGCATAAACTTTTACAGATTTACAATTTCCATTAGCTGTAAAGTATAAAGTAACTTGAAATAATATTTTTACAACCTATATACAACATAAAATTTAACTTTTATAAATGGGTAACCTACCTATATGGTACAGGAAAGGCAAACCTTTCTTTCATATCTACACTCATAAAAGGCACATATTCTCTTCCATTAATAAAAGAGGTTTTTCTGAGCACAGCTATCTCTTCTTTTGAGTAATCAGATGGACCAAGATTTATTAAACCAGTCCTTGCTGTCTTGTTTGTTGCATTTGTCCTTTGATTCTGTGCAGTAGTCTCCCCTTCATCTAAGAAGGCACCATGTCCTAATGGTGCCACTTTCTTTTCAGGTAACTTCCCTACATTTCCTTTCGTAGTTATTGCCTTTTTTACCACCTCTGCCCTAAATTGGAAAGAAAAATTACCAGAAAATCAGGAAACTATTTTAAGTGCAAATTTTCTTTCATAATTTTGAGAAATCCAACTAAAGTCAAATCTACATTCTAAGCATCCTGTGTTGGGATATGATTGACTGATTTCAGATTAACAATAATATACAGCTGTGTCAAGATCCCACGATAAAATGGAATAAAGCATCTAATCAGAAATTTACTTAATGTAACTACACGTAATTTGGCAAAATTTGGATGAAATTTTGTATGGATTTAGAACTTGGCAAACTGCAACTGGATATAGAAAAAAATGTATGTAGCTTTTATACTTCCAGAGGTGCAGTCAATTCAAAATTGGTGAAATAGGTCGAAGAATGAATAGAATTTTGTAAAATTGCGTTTTCATGAAAATATTCCAAAGAATTTTATTTAAAAATTATATCTTATTGCTATAAATATTTATATATTAGGGGGTCATGATATTCATTTTTGCTGTTTAAATCAAATTTAAGTATGAGTTATGTATGAAAAATACAATTTTGCAGTATGACACCAACATGATGTTACGATTATTTTGTCATAAAGAATCTTTTACTAAGACTCATAAAGAGACTTATTGATTTCTACTGAACAAAGAAAATGTTGACCCCTTATATTTTCATATTCAAAACAAAATTATGTTGAAGGATTTTGGAGAAAATGCAATTCAAAGTAAGAAAATATTCTTCACTATTTTTTAATGGACTGTATCTCTAAGAGAATAAAAGCTAAATGTATAATTTTTTCAATATTCATATGCCGATTAACAATATCCCCCACTCACATGCACTTTGCCTTATATTTGAGAGTTCCATAAAATCTTGAATAACAAACCAAAAATTTTTTAAAATCGAATGTGAGCTTTCTAACAACTTTCCAATATATCATATATTAAGTATCATGATGTTTGTTCAACAAATTCTCTAATTTTTGAACGACACCTGAATGGATGGAAGGATAGATCAACATATGGTATACCATAAAACATCACGTTGATGAGTGTATAAAAATCTATGAAATCCAATTATGAAAAGAGAGCATTTATCTATTATAAATTTCAAAACCTAAAGTGATTTCATTTCACATGACAATCAACAGCTTATCTTTATCTTCAGAACACAATAGATATTCATCTACATCTCTCATTATATGTAAATATTGTAAACTAACCTGTCCAAAGCATTCTTTGCCATCTTTTCAACCTTGGCTTGTAAACTTTTGTCAGATGTATTGCTCCTCTGTATAAAAAAAATTATCAAAATAGATTTAGTAACATTTCTATTTTACAATCATTGTTAAAGGATATAATATTGTATATTTACCTGGTTATCATGCATACAGATTTACCATATAACTGCAAATATTTCAGATAATTTTATTTAGATTTATTAAATCTACATTCTACATTTGTATAGATTGTTCATAAAGTCTATCAAAAACACTGTCAAAATTATCTTAAAATACTGCTTTCTCTACACCCATTGCATCGATTTTTCAAAAAAATTGATATGTTGTTGCCAGATATATTTCCGTTTTAATGATGTAAAACATTTAAAGGGTCAATGGCTTCATTTTTTTCAGGTAAACATCAGTCACAATGGTGTGAAAAAATACAGCAAAACATCAAACTAAGTAATGTTTTTCACAACTAAACAAGGTAACAGATTGGTAAATACATCAAAAATGAATTTGATGACCCTATGATACTTTTATATGATTCAAACAGAAACTTATGTAGAAACAACATCATATAATTTTTTTTATTCCTTTATTCTTACAATCTTTAAAAATAGTTCCACTGCTTCAGAGTAGAGTTCTACAGCTTCTTTGAGGTTCTCGGATTCATCTTCATCAAATGCTTGGTTCAACAAAAATGTAGCCCTTTCCAGGTTTAACTGAAAATAGTATCAAAACTATCACTAACATAAATAGTGGCTTGTAAGTATATCTACTGGTATCACTACAAACCAGTAAAAGTCTGAAATGGCCTATATCTGTACTCGACTGTACTGATTTTTACTCGACCAGTCTGAATTGGTCTGAAATTTACTTGATAATACTCGACTGTAGTCTGAACCATACTTAACAGTCTGAACTTGTACTCGACCCTTACTCGACCAGTACTTAACCATTTTATACGCGTCTGAACCATGCTCGACCTAGTCTGAACCATGCTCGACCTGGTCTGAACCATACTCGACCTTGTCTGAACCATACTCGACCTAGTCTGAACCATACTCGACCAAGTCTTAACCAACCTAGACCTATTTTTTGTATCTATCTATTGTATTTCATCAATTTAGGAACTGTTTTTAACAACAGCTATTTCCCCTGGCTAGAAATTTGAACAACAATTTGAAATTAAAAATGTATTCAATATAGCATTGCAACCAAAATTTCACAATAAGCATAATATAACTTCATCACCATATTCATCAACACTTATATACATACATATATATCACCTTTAAAATTAAAATAAAACAAGCTGATCAAATAATCTCAAAACTGAATTGTGACTAATATTTTCAATGTTATTCAAAATTTTTTGAATGTTTCAGATATATTTTATGGTTACTGGACAATTTTCACCATTAACTTAAGCCTCGTATAGATTTATGGTGTCAGTTGAGTTTAGTTAATAATGCAGTGAACATTTTTTTTATTAAAATATATATAAAATAGCATATAAAGCATCTTTAAGTTAATAAATTTAAAAAATGACACCTTTGTTTTGTTAAACCAAGAATTTAATATAATCATGATAATAGAACTTCCATAGTAATCCTGTGATAAACTTTTAAAAAAGGAAATGTGTTCCAAAGTTACAGTAAAAATTTATTTCAATTAAATTTAAATAATTTTTGTCAAAATTAAAGACATGGCATACAAGAAGCACTTTAATATGGTTTAATTACCTCAGTACATGTGTGTTTTACAGGTAAAAAGAAAGCCCTATTTTTCTTAAACTCGTGTATTACTTATCTAGTGAATTCAAAAGGCCTTGCGATTTAAGTTTCACAGGATGTTGCAATTTTGAATGAATGTTATTTAGAATTTAATACTCTCTGACCAGGTGTGATCTTTTTCATGAGTTTGCCCCGAGCAGGAGGTATTACTTTATACTTCACCACTAATCAGAAGAACAATTTTATTAATTTCTTTAATTTTTATACCTTTTTGATATATATTGTATATAATATATCCCAAATTATAATAATAGATATCTTTCTAAAATAAGGTTAAACAATTTCAGTGATTTTGTTGGCTGTGGTTACCTCATTAAAAAGATAATTATATAACTATTGTACATTTTTTGTATGTAACCATGAAACCTATGTAGTTTTTATTTAGGAATTTAGGAAAATTAATTTAAAAAAAAAAAACACATGCCAAACAAGAAGCACCTTAATAAGGTTTAATTACCCTCAGTATAGGTGTGGATTTTAGGTAAAAGAAATTTTTTTTTTAACAAAACTCTAAAACTTTAAAATTAATATAATTAAATTATTATATAAGATAATTTGATTTAACTATCTCTATTCGATAAATCTGAGAATCATGTAAGAATGTAAAAATCTGTTTTATAATATATCTTTATTTTATTGTGGCTGTTGTCATGTCAGTTAAAAAGAAATTTATTTTAACAGTTAAAATTTAGAAAAAGTAGAGGTTATTTGGTCAAGTATGGTTCAGACTGGTCGAGTATTGTTCAGACCTTTGGTCGAGTATGGTTTAGACTGAAAAAATAGGTAGAGTACAGGTCGAGAATGGGTTAAGACTGTTTCAGACTGGTCGAGTAATAGTTCAGACTATTTTCAATGGCAAAGATAAGGGTCAAGTACAAATCAGTACAGTCGAGTATGGTTAAGACTGGGGTCGAGTAATGTCGAGTAAAATTCAGACCAATTCAGACTGGTCGAGTAAAAATCAGTACAGTCGAGTACAGATATAGGCCATTTCAGACTTTTACTGGTTTGTAGTGTATGTATTTTCAAAATACTTAACAAGGAAGCAAACTTAGACTTTACGATGTTTAACAGGAACACCAATGTTAATAGACACATTATTAGATTTTCTTTTTCATGTAAGCCAGCATTTATTTGTATCATTTGATCAATTACAGCTTAGATTCAAATGATCTTCAACAGCAAATGTTTTATATCTTAATAAGGTACTTGTTATTTCAAGAAGGTAATGCATGTGATAATTTGTCACTTATGTTGTGAAATTCAGATTTCTACTGTAACTGTATCTGTGTAAACTCTGACACAGTGTGTAAACTCTGACACAGTTAATTTTGCATCCTCCTCAATGTGTGGAAGTGAGTCTTATGCCATATATTATATTTTCATCATATCAATCTGACATTGCCACTCTCTCTTTACCATCATCATACTCTTTTCAATGAATTTCTTCTTCAAATAGTGTTTCATCTTTCTTTAAATAATCTTTATAAGTTATAAAGCTATTACCAAAATGTGACTAGCATTAGTTTCAGTAGAATAAAATATCTCATTTGAAATACTTATGTTCCTTTTATACATACATGATTCCAGACAAAAGGAATTTGAAATGAGGGTCCTTTTTGCATTTTTACTCTGGAATGAAATTTTAGACATCTATCCATAGATGTAATTTCAGAGTGCTTTCTCTAAGTGCCAAATATATCCTGTTTAAGCAGCATCTTCTGTTAGCTTACTTTTATAGTTTATCTATTGAAAAGAGAAGTTAAGCCATCTTCAAATTTGCAGTTTATGTACTCACTTTGTATCAAAGACAGACAGACTAGTTCTAGCCTTAAAATAAAGATTCTACCTTTTCTTCAGACTTTGGTTGTTGCTGGTTTTGTTTAACTTGTACAGCTGCAAAAAGAACAATATGCATTTTCAATTTTCACCTTTTGATTAAATATTTGTTAGAAATACACTTTGCTTACTAATATTATGTGTTGATGGCAGATCTTTGATTATTTCTGTTTAAATAATTCACAAATTTTATATAGATTCAGGAATATCTAGTGCTTGTCATATTTTTCAGACACCTGTTTATTGTTAAAGACTGCTTGTTGCCCTCTAGATGTCATTCGGTTATTTTTGTGTAGGGTTGCTGACTCATTTATGTTTACTGCACATCTTTTTATTCAAAGGTATTCATTATTACAAAAGGAATTAAGTTGTGGAAGCTTGATTTAATCCAACATTGCTAATTTTTATCATATAAATACTTATAGACTTGAAAAGGGATGGGATTTGGAACAGATGCTCGTGAAGCAACATCAAATAAATTACCCCCAAAAAATATAGATGAGGCAACATCAAATAAATTACCCTAAAAAAATATAGATGAGGCAACATCAAATAAATTACCCTAAAAAAATATAGATCTTAATAATCAGTTCAACAGTTGAAGCGGGGAAAAAATTTGGCAATGGCACCTGCTGAACAGTAGTGCTGGTGAATAAATGGCTATGCAGGGCTCAGCATAATACAACTGGAGGACAATGACAAGGTAAATCTGAACAAGAATATAGTAGAGTGCTTAAAGTTATGCTGCTTTCTTTTCAGATTTCAATTTGTGCTTGCGAGATTTTCCAACACCAAATATGTAAAAAACAGTAAAATCTACCACAAATATACTTCAAACAAGGAGAGATTTTTAAAAGAAAGCAAATTCAGACTTGAAATATGAAATATTGAAAATAAATGGAGAATGTGTCCATGGGAAACAGTTGATGCCCCCTCTTCCATATAACATTATAAAGGGACATAACTCAAGAACAGTAAAAATTATGCAACCCAAAAACTTGATCTGATTTTTGTGGTAATAAGCATTGTGTATAAGTTTCATAACATTTGGTTTAGGCAAACTTAAGTAAGAGAATGGAAATGAAAAATTCAGCAATTTTTCCATTTATAAAGAGGCATAACTCTAGAGGGGTAATAGTGACGCCACCCAATTCAAACTTGATCTGATTTTTGTGGTGATAAGCATTGTGTATAAGTTTCATAACATTAGGTTTAGGCAAACTTAAGTTAGAGAACGGAAATGAAAAATTCAGCAATTTTTCCATTTGTAAAGCGGCATAACTCTAGAACGGTAAAAGTAACGCCACCCAAATTCAAACTTGATCTGTGTTCTGTGGTAATAAGCATTGTGTATAACTTTCATAACATTTGGTTGAGGCAAACTAAAGTTAGAGAACAGAATCCAATTTTGGGACGTACGGACGAACGTACAGACGGACAAGAGTAACACTTAATACCCCCTCCGCTCAGAGGCGGGGGCATAGAAATTATTCTGACCAAAACAAAAATTCTTATATCTCTGAATTCATATACCAGCGGCGCTTCATTATGCTTCATTAGATCTCTTAGTATAACCTCAGACAGAATTTTTTTCAAGAAAATGAGTGAAACCATACATCATATCAGGTAAAAAAATAAATTACAAAACTATTGAAAATACAAGTCCTATGTGAATTGATTATTTTTTAATGTGTAATAGTGCGCGCTTCAGCGTTTCTAATATCAATCCTGATATAATATTGAAAAATTTCTGACGACCGTGTAATTGAAATGTATAACCCTTAACTTACCAAAAACATCAAATTATAATATTGGGGTTGAAATTCTTTATTTTTGTCAATTTGATTGCATATTCTATCACCCTACAATAAGTTACAACATATCTAATTACAGTTTATATTGAACACTAGCAGAGTGACTTGTGTTACAGCAGACATCTCAAACAGTTTCATCTAAAGATTTTCTTCACCATCATACTGTTTTAAGAAAAAGGAAAATTGATGGAGGCAAATAGGATTTTTGTTCCTAAAAAAGTGCCTTTAATATTTTATAATCTTTGGAGTGTGTAAGGAATAGTGCAATCTAAAGTAACATACCTGCAGACTTAAGTTGTTCAGCTCTGAGAATATAATCATTTGCTCTCTCTACAATGTTAGGAACGTGTGATCCTGCTAATGCTGCACTCAATAAAGCCTGTGCTGCTTCCTGATTAATGATAATTACTTTCATAAAGAACAGCAAGAATGTATGAAGTTGTAAACACTTGAATGACCTTGTTTTCATTGATCTTTTCTATTTATTGTCACACTTTTTAACAACACTATAATACATTTTTATCATTAAAATTGGTATAATGGTTTTATAAATTAACTGAGCTTGATTTATATAGCCAGTAGATATAAAAGAGAATTCATTATCTAATTCATAAAAAATAATTTGTTTTGTCCCAAAATTTTAAATTGAAATTATTTCTGGTCCAAGTTTCATCAAATTGCATGAAAAAAACTTCGAAATGTCCAGTTTATTTGAATACATGTACATCTAAACTTTAACAGTCCTTCATCTTCTTTAAATGTCAATCAGACTAATAGAAATATTGTTGATGAAACATTAAAATTCACATTTAAATAAACAGAAAATAACTATCAATACTAAATAATGGAAAAAAAAAAAAATAAGATATGGACAATTCAAATTTTTTTTTGTTAATTTTCTTTTAATCCGACCACATATGACTTCATAATATTTGTTTAATATTTTTGTACAGACTACATAGTGGTAAAACGAATAACATATCTGGTTGAGTTTTTTTGTTAATCATTGGAACTGATAATTTCATTTGAGGAAAATGACAAATTCAATTTCATGTAAACCTGAAAACATGAATAGTTTTTTTAAAATAATTTCTTTATGTATATTTAGGAAAAAATAAGGCTGAAAACGCTCTAAATATTTATATTCAATATGAACAAGCATTCTGTGAGTATTGCATGGCAATACATAAACCCCTACCGGTTACAAATTCATTGTAATGGAACGAAATTCTAACTTGATCTATAACTTGTCATGGTGTAAACTACATAAAAATATCAAGTCAAAATCTTCAAGCATGACAAAAAAACTGTTGAAAACTGATTATTTAAGTGAATTTTCTATGTCCAAAGACCATAACTCTGCACAAAATTATCAGACTGGAACAAAATTCCAGCTTGATCTGTAACTTGTCATGATTAAACTATATACTAATTATCAAATCAATATCTTCAAGAATGACAAACAAACCTACCACTCAATTCTTCAAACAATTTCATGAATTTACCAAAGAAAAGGAAAAAAATCCAAAATGTCATTTTGTCTTTTAAAAATCTTTTAAAAAATGAGTTATTTCCTTTTGAACAGAAATCTACTTATTAATAAGTATTTCATCAAAAATTTAATTCTAGGGAAAGGGCTTTAACTGAACAAAGAGAAAAGCTAAAATCGTGAAAATTGAACTTGACCTGTAACTTGTCATGATAAATCAATAAACCAAGTATCAAATCAATATCTTCAAGCAGGAAGAAAAAAAGTCTGGAAAACTGATTTGCCGGACTGACAGATGGACAGACAGACAGACAGACAGACAGACGGAGTGCAAACCTAAAGTCCCCTTCGACTTCGTCGGTAGGGGACTAATAATCACATTTTGTCGATTAAGACAGACAGACAGACAGACAGACAGACAGATGGAGTGCAAACCTAAAGTCCCCTTCGACTTCGTCGGTAGGGGACTAATAATCACATTTTGTCGATTAAGACATATATAATTTTTTCCTTATCTGCGCAGTATCGTCTATTCAAGAGGAACAGGTACATATTAAATTTGCTGGTTGGTCCTTTTTATAGACTTCTATATATATATATATACATTTACAAGTCTAAATTGAAAACAACGTTCAAACCTATGATTGCGTTGGATAAAAACCGCAATTTTTATACGTGTGCATGTAAAACAAATTTCTTGGTAGAGGGGTCTAGATACAGCACAAACAACATTTTCCAAAAGACCAAAAATGTGAAAAGTATATTTTAACAAAATGCATTTGACTAACAGGTCGAACAACTGATGTTCTTAAACCCTGCTGACTGCCATTGGCGATTGCCAAATAAATTGATCACCAGATCTAACAAAATTGATCTTAATATTAATGTTATACCAAACAGAAATCAATAAACTTGCGGAAAAGATGGTATACCACAAACATGAGGTGCAAAAATTTGTACACCATATCCGGATTTCGACAATTAATGTCTCTTCAGTGATGTTAGGGATCGAATATACAAGATCAAAATCAGACACTGTGATATCATTCTTTCAATATCAAATAGCTCAACTAATCTTATTGCATATTAATAAATGTATGACCTTCATGTATTAGTTGTTAAAGATCTACTCAAAGAAATTAAACACACAATGACCTTTAATTCAATTAAGCATAGTATACATGGATTAACCTAATTTATGACTTACATTATAAAAAAAGATTGCCATGCCATAGTTCTCATTGGTATCATTGTTAACTGCCTGTACAGCAAATGTCTTGCCATCATTTTCTAAAGCTGTAGGATCAGGAGCATAATCATCATAACTAGGATCCATTTCTCTGTGTTTATTTCATTGTACCGGTATTCATAATAATTACCTATCAAATATCAAAAACAAATTTAAAACATGAGTTTGTCTGGCATCTATGCAAAATACTGACTGTTGAAATGGCCCCCAAAAAATGCTTCTGAATCCTTATTAAAAAAAACCACGACAATGGCTATTCATTTGCAGTGCTTCAAAGTTAAAAGTCATCCAATGATATGAGAGATACATTTATATTAATATGGAGAATCAGGGACACAGGCCCCTGAAATACATTTACATTATTGCGAACCCAATGATACTTTTCCACAGATTCACCTGCAAGTTACCTGTCAATTTAAACTTTTGTAAGTTCTTTTGTCCCATCTAATAAATACAATAGCTATTGTTCTCTGTGCAGTTTATTTGATGGGACCTTTAAATTTCTTCCAAGAGAAATCTATCACTCACTGATTAATTTACCTGAATAAAAAATTGAACTGTCAAAAATGAAAATACATTTATTTCTATTCCGTTATATTTGGAATTTCCCTATTCTATTTCTATCTTTAGACTTGTGGTACAAGTTTGGCTAGTATGTAAATCAGAAGTGGTCTGATGTTACTGTTGTTTTCTGCACGAATATTTCGAGGGCGGTAGTACGGGTGGGGTTTTATAGGCATATATAAGTCCTGATTACGTTTGATTATTATCGATGTGCTCCAGTAACTTTGATAGACGAAGTTAACGTTAAGCTCTGCATAATATGTCCGAGGAAGGCTCCGACCATGATGAACGCCGTGCTACTACTCAACATGCTGAAAATAGTAACGAAACAGAGTTAAGTACGGACGGGGCTATTTCGCTTTTCACTTCAGCTTTAAACAATGCTTTAGAGAAGCAAAAACATTCCTTGATTAATCATTTCGAAGCTCGTTTAGGAAAAAGTGTTAAAGCAACCGGTGTCGACCAACCAGAATTTGTATTCCATAGTGAGGGAATTAAAGTGCAACATTCGTTTAATACCGAGCGTCTGGAGAGGCTTGCTGCCGTTGAAAGTTGTATAAAGCTTGGAAACGCTTCCGAAGTTAGTGAAATTATTACCCAGGAAAAGGAAATCATCCGTAAGCGTAACAAAATTCTAAAGATAGCCGACAAGCATGGATGGGACACGGTTAAAGAGTACTTGGATAGTCCGTTGGCCGACAATAAAGAAGATGCTAGTGATTTGCGTGCTGCTATTTCCAGGGCTTCTCGTAAAAGAAGTTCCAAGCCGTACAGTAGACCAGAATCTTCCAATAGTGGTTCCGGAAAAGGAGAATTCAATTCCAGGAGTTTTTTTTCGTGGCCTTGGCCAAGTCAGTGATACCGAGTTCTCCAAAGCAGGCAAGTCAGAAAGTTACAAGTGTTTCTATTGTAACCAGCCCGGGCACTTTGCAAGGAACTGCCCCGAAAAAAAAAAAAAAAAGGATTCCTACAGCAACAGTTGGTGCACCAAAGTTCCAGGAACAGAACACAGGAAAGACCCAGTAACAAAACAGATACAGACATAGATGAAGTTGAGTATTGTTTTCAATTTGTTAACAAGTATGAGAAAAAATATTGTCAAAATCTTATAAATGTGAAAGGAAATTTAAGAAAACATGCATTGTTTTGGAAAAATGTACTTAACGCTAATGATTTTATAATGAATGTTATTAATTTTGGTTATAGAATTCTTTTTCTGAGTGAACCATCGACTATTTTTCTAAGTAATAATAGATCCGCGTTAAAACACTCAGAATTTGTGGAAAATTCTATTGAAGAACTTTTAACTAAAGAATGTATAAAAGAAGTAAATCGACCATTTGTCGTTAATCCACTTACTGTGTCGGTAAATAGTACGGGTAAAGAAAGATTAGTCTTAGATTTGAGACATGTTAATAAACTTGTCGAGAAACAAAAAGTTAAATTTGAAGGGGTTAAAGAAGCTATGACATTTGTAAATTTTAGCGGTTTTGGGTTTAAATTTGATTTAAAGTCTGGTTATCACCATATAGAAATTCACCCTGATCATCAAAAATATTTAGGATTTTCTTGGCAATATGGTGATACAGTGCGTTATTTTAAAAACCTATGAACTTTTTTACAAAAGGTTCACAAGAAAAGAGTATATTTGCACAGAGACCTTTTAACAGTAATGTATATGTTTTGTTGTTGGATTTCTCGAAGTATTGAGATTTATGCATTGAATGTTGTATACAGACTGTAGTTGATTTAGTTTTCTGCGATGGTTATTTGCCGCAGTTATCAGATATGAGACTATATTCGTAAGAATGTTAAATTTAACATTGTGATGTTTTAACTGCAACAATTAGATATGTCATTGTTAACATTGTTGATTAATTGTTTATGAATACAGTGAGGGTTAATGCCACTGTATATATATAAGTATATGACTTTTTTAGATACTGTGAGGTTGAATGCCACAGTAAGTGTGCGAGGAAAATGCCGCATTCATTTGTTTGCGAGGAAAATGCCGCACTCATTTGTTTGCGAGGGAAATGCCGCATTCATTTGTTTGCGAGGGAAATGCCGCATTCATTTGTTTGCGAGGGAAATGCCGCATTCATTTATAGTAGTAATGTTAATTATATTTACTTTGTTTATAGTTATTACTTGGTATTCATTATTATATTTATTTTACAGATCAATGGAAACAATTTGAGTGTTATGCCAATGATTCGAGATTTGCCAGTATCATACGAGATTTACCCTCTTTTGTCGAATCGTCTAGATCAAATTCTACAATTAAGAAATACAAGTGCTATTTTAAAAAGTTTGAAAAATGGTGTGTTTCATGTTCACTTGAGTGTTTACCAGCGACAACTACTACGATTTCTATGTATATAGGTGGACTCATTCAACAGGGATCCAGTGTTGCGATTTTAGATGCAAGTTTTTATTCAATAAAATGGTTTCATGACTTTAATTTCAAACATAATCCTTGTTCAGACAAATTCCTTGGTCTTATTTATGAAGGAGGAAGGAGATTGCTAAGTAAACCTATAAACAAAAAAGAACCTATTACGCCAGATATATTAAGGAAAATTGTTTTGAAGTTCGGAGATCATAATAATCTCAAAAAATTGCGTGTAGTAGTATTATTTCTGTTAGGATTTTCTGGATTTTTGAGGTATAGTGAATTGGCTAACATTAAGATGAATTATATTGAGTTTCAAGTCAGTCATGTTAAAATTCGCATTGATAAAAGCAAAACTGATTTATACAGAAGGGGTAATTCTGTTGTTATAGCTGCAACAGGTACAGATTTATGTCCAGTTTTTTGGTTAAATAAGTATATCAATTTAGCTGAATTGAGCAAAAATTCTGATAGCTATATTTTCAGAGCACTGTCTTTTATGAAATCGAAAGATGTTTATAAATTATGTAATATAAATAGTCCATTGTCCTATACCAGAGCGAGAGAAATTTTGTTAGAGAGTTTATCAGATATTGGTTTAGATAAGCTTAAGTTTGGGCTTCATAGTTTGAGAAGTGGTGGCGCTTCTACGGGGGCTAATAGAGGAGTCTCTGATAGGTTACTTAAAGTCCACGGTAGATGGGCTTCTGATAAAGCCAAAGATGGGTATATTAAAGACAATTTAAAATCTCAAATGGCTGTTTCCTTGAATCTTGGCATATAGTTCTCAAATTATTTATTCCTTTGTTTTATCGAAGTTACTGCGAGCAAACAAACCTAAATTATGACTTGTCTCTTATTTAGCCATGTATTTAGTATAGAAATGTTTTAAATTCGGACGAATTCATGAGGGAGAATTTAAATTTATTTCTATTCCGTTATATTTGGAATTTCCCTATTCTATTTCTATCTTTAGACTTGTGGTACAAGTTTGGCTAGTATGTAAATCAGAAGTGGTCTGATGTTACTGTTGTTTTCTGCACGAATATTTCGAGGGCGGTAGTACGGGTGGGGTTTTATAGGCATATATAAGTCCTGATTACGTTTGATTATTATCGATGTGCTCCAGTAACTTTGATAGACGAAGTTAACGTTAAGCTCTGCATAATATATTACAGTTATGTTTGTATTGATATGTATTTAGAGGACATTGTGAATGTATATAGATGGAATTGTGGTATATTTTTGTAATTTGTAAAATGTTTACAAGATATTAAATGTTGTTTCGCTGAGAAAATAAGAAAGTTACTGCGAGCAAACAAACCTAAATTATGACTTGTCTCTTATTTAGCCATGTATTTAGTATAGAAATGTTTTAAATTCGGACGAATTCATGAGGGAGAATTTAAATGTACAAATACTAACATGACTAAATAAGGACTCAAAAAAACTGCATGTGGTGTTGTATTTATTCAATATCAATAATTCATTTTTAATAGTTTCAATATAAACACTGATTCAAAAATTAAAAGTTGATTTCTGAACAAATGTTTTATATTTTCCCTATTAAAATTAGCTTTTTTTGTGTGTTTGACAAATAAAAACTTGAAAATTATTGTGTTTAAATTAAGTTCTTGATAAATGTATTCTATAACTGAACAACAACAAAAACATGAACAATGCTAAAAATTTTGTCAGAAATAAACTTTTTATAATTAAATCAGTGTTTATATTGAACAGATTGAAAATATATTATTGATATTGATTAAATACAATATTGCATGCAGTTTATGTGAGTTTATACAACTATTTCCCCCAAAAAAGAAGATAATTTTTTGGTCAGGTAAATTAATCAATGAGTGATAGATTTTTCCTAGAAGAAATTTAAAGGTCCCAGTGAAAAAAACTACACAATAGCTATTGTATTTATTCAATAGGACAAGAGAATAGACAAAAGTTTAAATACCATGGTCAAGAGCAGACGGCTCTGTGGAAGACTTTCATTTGGTTGCAATAATATGGAGGATCAGAGACACAGGCCCCTGTGTTCAAACTCTTTCTGCAGACAGCTTCAGGAACCACTTTGGATTAAGTCAGAAAGTATTACATACTTTATATTATATCAAATAAAACAGTTCTTATACATAGCTGCTACTTTGAAAATAAGTCAAATATTTGGGTAATTCTTGAACAGTCAGGATTCTACTTCGTCAAAATTATCTCCCCATTACGCCAATTCATTTTTACAATCGTAAAAATGGAAGCCATTGTAGGGATGACGCGCTTCCAATTTAGCTCTTGAAAACCGATAAAAAAATGAAGTTTATTTGAAGATATGCATTTTTAAGATCCAACTTAAAAGTCAGTCGTCAAGTACTTTTAGTAAAAATTTGCTATTCGAACACACCTAATCTGTTTTTGTGATTCATTAGAACCTGATTTTTGGGTTTATATGACTGTAAAAAAATAATTGGTGAAGAATAAATCATATGGTGGTGCACTTCTTTTTTGCCACAGCCATTTGAAAGTACCCAATTTTGAAGATTTTCCCATTTTTCATCAATTTTTACCCATTTTTAGGCTATTATCCTAAAAACAATCACAGTTTTACAGTTAAACTTTTTTTCATACTTTCACTAAAGATGAAGTGGACCAATCTGAATAAATTTAACTTATAAAAACTATAGGTAGGTGTTAATATAAGAAAGTTTTCGAAAATTTTGTTGCTTTTTCGTGTCAAATTTACCATGCTGTCACTTTTGTTAATTTGGGATTTTCCCCTTTTTTTAGAACAAAAAACATACTATTTCAACTTCTTAGTTATAAATGATTGAAAATATACATATCTAAGAAATTTGAAAAGAAAAAATTGATATGGGATGTACATGTTTCTGGTAAAATCATTTCTTGTACCCCTCACCCATTTTCTCAACATTTTGGCTAATGAGACTGACTTGATTGGTTACAAAATTTGAAAATTTTATTGCTCAAAAACTACTTATTGTAAATTTATACACAATTTTTTCACAGAGTTAAGTTTGATTATAATAATTTTTAAATCCATTGATATTTTCCACTTGTATCTCATGTTTTGGAAATAATTCCAGAACGAGATTTCAACGAGACTGAAATGTCAGAGGAATACATCCTTAATGAAAAATGTAGTTTTTTATTAATTTAAGTCGGAAAAAGACTGTTCCGAGAAAGACATATTCCCCAGAAATCGTATACAATGTGAGTGTTTGGTAATATAGACATATACCATATCGATACCAACATTCTTGACACTAAACATCTATTTGTACCTATCCTTTAAAGACCGATTTTGTTGGTAATTTCTTTCCTGATCAGATGATTCATTTGTTAATTGACCTTAATCTTGTAATATTGTATTAGAAACCACATGAAACCCATTGAACAATATTCTTTAGAATTTTTTTAATAAACAAGCTCCGTCCGAAATAATCATGATACTATTTTACTTCAATTTCTAAAACAAAATATAAATAAATTCAGAGCTCCAGATAAGAATTCACAAATTGGGGTTTTTACCCATCATTTTTTTATGTAATTGGGTGATAGAGTTTTTTAATCGCATTATCAATTCCGATTCACCCCTCAAGCAAATATCAAATTGGGTTTTTCACCACCAAGCTCCTTAATGTATTGGGTTTTTTCATCAACACAATATTGAATATTTAGGCATGTTATAATCACATTATATCAACCCAAGATGTTTTTCCATCTTTAATATGTTTCTTTCTTTGTATATGTGCTAGCTGTTTTGTTTGGTTTATTCACTGACGAGCAATTGTACGTTTGATTTGTGTCACGTTTTAAACGTTCTGCCAGTTTTGTATTTTCTCGCAACTTATATAAACTGCAGCTGGTATCACTAGTTGGACAGTAACTAATTACCTTTCTAGATCCCATATGATATCCTACAGTTTATTGCTAATGCGGCGTAAAGCAAACAACAATCAATCAATCCTACAGTTTATTTGGGGTAGGTGTGGCTTAGTGTTAAGATTTTTATGTAATATATGTGAAATTTAGGTGCTGTAAGAAAGTTTTGCCAGTCCTTTTACCTATTTGCCAGATCTACTTTTTAATAAAAATAATAAGTAGTTCCCAGATTTAAGATATACCCCAAAACCTTGACCAGGTTTAAAGGGTGGTTTAATTACGGACACCACATTCAACTTCAATTTACAAAAAATTCTGCAACATCAAATAAATAAATAACACTTGCCAATAAGACAGCTATCTTAAGCATACAGAACAATTAGACCAAATTAAAGAAAGTGTCAAGCTGCATTGACGTAAAAAAACGGATATGTGTATTCACTCATCAACTAAAAATGAAAAATAATATATAAACTAAAATTATACCTGAATGTTTTTGTTTAATTTAATTAACATAAATCTGGGTTAAGTTGTCCCTTATTAGAACTTTTGGTTTCCGATGCTTTCCAACTACATATCATGTCATAATTAATTTGGCCTTTCACTTTTTCCAACTGATTTCGTTCTTGAAGAAACCCCATGTTTATCGTTCTAGCAATGTTCTTGTTAAGGTGCGCAAACACGCCCGTGCGTTTGACGGACGCTTCATAAAACACTAGCTGAGTCTTGTTATCATCATAACTTGTCCTCTGCTATCAAAAAGAAGCTGAAAACATGCTTCTATTCAATATTTTTACCGGACATTTACTTTCGTTTTAATTCATTGTATGTTACGATAAGTCCCAAGCAATTCGAAAAAAATATGAAAACATGACAAACGCTAATTGGATAAACGCAGAGAAGATATAAATGTTTTCATAAACATGTGTACCTTTTGAGCAACGTAAAATTCCAACAGGGACCCATTTCAGCTACTTGATGAACAGATTACTGGTGGAGGAATAATATTACTCCCAATTAGTGGAGGTGTGCCTTTATTGGCAGAAGTTAGACAGATACAAGATACAAGATCCAGGGCTCTATTTTTAGAACGAAAGGAAATTTCCAATTATAAATATTATAAAAATAGATTTACGCGACGATTGTAATTAGATAAGGGTAAATAACACAAATGATAGCGAATAAAAGCGTTAAGAACTCATGGTTTTGGCATATAATTGGGTTTTACTTCGAAATAATTGGGTTATTGAACCCTGCAATGGGCAATTGCAATGGGTTTTTAATCATTTGTATTGCGTGATCACGCAAATACGCAGCTTATCTGGAGCTCTGAATAAATTACTTATACCACACGTAACTGTTTTGTCAGGTTTTTAATGTGGGTCTCATTGGGGTCTAGGCGTGACCCGGGATTGCCGATTTTTTGTAAGCGTGACATGTGAGAGTCAAATTATTGTGCCGTGAAAACGGGAAATGAAGTCTAACGGGACACGGGAAATTACAAAAAAATGAGAATTGCTTACGTACTTAGTGTAAGCGGGATACGGGAATCTGACAAAACAGTAAGCGGGATCCGGGATCAGAACCCCCCGATGAGACCCCCTTTAATAAAAAGTGGTAAATTTAGAAAATGTTAGTACTGTCCCCTATGAAATAATAAATACTGCCGTTTTCCCTTAAGTTAAAACAAGGATTTGTATAGTCTTACTAAACAAATCCTTGGTTAAAAACATTTTTTTTTTTTAAACTAATAAAACTTGTATCAAACATTTTGAATGAGTGAAAATAAGGAAACTTTTGTCTGCCACAGGTCACAGTCATATATAATTTAAGAGAATAAGTGAACATAATTTCCACCTTCGTCTGTTATGTTTACACATGAGAATATGAGAAAGAAAGTGGGTTACCACTGCACTGTTGTGACTATGACTGTATTTTCGATTTCGTAAAGTTCTTCAATCTGAAGGTACAAAACGAAACCTTAGTGTAACTCACAAACCGGACGCGGTTAAACTTCGGGAATGGTGTCTAAAAGACTTGGACGCATTACGTGGCTGTTATTTTTGTCTCACTTATGGATAGCTGAGAGCTGGGATACTGATGATCTTGAACTTTTTGATCTGGTTGAAGAGGTCAACCGAAACTTCTATGAAGTTTTAGGCGTAGACCAGGTATTGTCACAAATTTAACACAATATTAGTTTAACTTTCACCATAAGGTATTTTGGGTCCCTTACGGTAAATTCCACAGGCACTTGTTTTCTATCCATGGCAAGATCTACTTTCCCTATATATTACGAGTAATATATAGGGATAGTAGATCTTGCCATGGATAGAAAACAAGTGCCTGTGGTAAATTCCCTTTTGGGATTCTGTGTACAGAGCGATTAAAAGTGATTATTTTTCGCTGTGAAAAAGAAGTTTGCAAAATGTAGAATTTATAATAAACAATGTATTGAAAAAACATGCCTGCCCCCTCACCCACAAAAAGTGCAACTCAATTAGTTACCCTTATATCAGTTATACAACAGTCAGCACCTGTGTTGATTTGTATTTTTCGAAATTCTTAGGATTTTCGACCCTAAGAGTAGACTACCTTAGCTCCCCTTATTAAGCAAAACCTTATGGAATTTTTGGTCTTCAATATTCTCTTCAACTTCCAACTTTATTTGTCCTTTCTAACTATTTTTGATTCAAGCGTCACTGATGAGTCTTTTGTAGATGAAATTTTAAGCCTGGTATCTATGATGAGTTTATTTATAACCATTACCAGGATGCCACTGCTGGTGGAGGTTTCCTGTTAACAAAACTTTGAATTTTTCAAAATTCTAAGGATTTTCTATCCAAGGAGTAGACAACCTTAGTTGTATTTGGCAAAACCTCTCAGAATTTGGGGTAGAAAAAGTATTGAGAACTCTTCAGGTTCATCAGATGGAATTGAAAAATATGGCTGTACGAATCTGGGTCTGTTCGCCCAAAAACATGTTCGCTCCCATTCACGTTCGCCCCCTTTCACGTTCGCCCCCTACACGTTCGCACCCTTTTTTATTGATTTTGTGTTAAATAATTTTTCAATCGTATTTTGGTAAGTGTATTGCTATAAATATTTTTTTTGTTCATTGTTTCAAAATAAAGTGACGTTTTTTGTGTTGAATATTTTTTTAATCATGTTTTGGTTAGTGTATTGCTATATTTATTTTTTTTCATTGCTTCAAAATAAAGTGACTTTCTAAAAAGGTTTTTTGTGTTGAATATTATTTTAATGTTAAGATACCAAACCGCTATTAAACTCAACAACAATAACATTTTGAATCTTAATTGTTTTTACTCCTGTGTAAACACCATATATTAACAGTAATCATACATAATTAACATATAATAATTAATCATCAAATCAATTTAAAACAATATTTCATTTAAAAGAATAAAAAAATTTCCCAATTTTTATTTAATAAAAATATTTTGAGATAAACATCTTAAAAAACATATTATAATTCATCAGGTTTTTGAATAAAAAAAAAAGGGTGCGAACTTGTAGGGTGCAAACGGACCCAGGGGGCGAACGTGTAGGGTGCGAACGTGTATTGGGCGCGAACAGACCCGATACCTGGCTGTACCAACCAAAATTTAACTGTGAAGACAAACACACTCGTTCATCAGGAAAAGTTTTAAATAAATGTTAAATGCATTTTATGTTTCAGAAATTAATAAACTTTTATTTTCTTCATGTCAATCAAAACAGCTCACTAATTTTATTAGGGGAACATCTAAAACATATTTCCAAACTGATCCTAAGGTAAAAATGTGGACTCAACTTGTCTTGTTGTACTATTAATTTCCAGGGGCGTATCCAGCCATTTTTTAAAGGGGGTTCCAACCATATGTCCCCATTCAAAAGCATTGATCGTCTAAAAAAAGGGGAGTTCCAACCCCCGGAATTCCCTGGATCCGCCACTGATTTTCATCTTAATCTGGTACTCTATTTCTCTTAGTAATATCTCGCAGTACTTTGGTATACATGTACTTTTAAGGCATAAACTAGTTTATTTTGACACAGTGCACCTTCTGTGTGAACAGAAAAAAGGAATCTCAAAATCCAAAGATGTTTAAAATTTTGTGGAACTAAAACTGAATTTAAACTTAACATTCTAATTAATACAATATAGTATAAGACACAGTGTATTTACATTTTGTTGCCCTCAGTTCCCTAGAACAGGTTGACACAGCCTGCCTAATGGGGAATAGCTGTTACTGCCTTGATGTTTGTTGTTAAAAAAAAAATTATCCAAGGAACAATGAGAATCAAGTGATAGCAAAGTGAGGAAGCTCAATTATTTCCCCAGAAGTAACACATTTTGATGTTATGGATTGATTACAGCACACATTAAATTTTTTTACCTGTAATAAAATTTCCCTGATTTTTACACAGAGAAGTGGTAAAGATGGATTTTATTTTATTTGTAGGCTGCTAGTAGCTCAGAAATCAGAAAGGCTTACAGAAAACTTTCCCTGCAGCTTCATCCCGACAAAAACAAGGAACCTGATGCTGAGGCCAAATTTAGACAGGTAAATTTGTGAAGTTTACTTCGAGAACATTGTGTAGATGAAAACTAGCTACAAAACCATATTAACAAGGCAGTCAAGTCCTAGTATATAGTGACATCTCTTACCACATTTGATTTCCTTAAGTGGCTGTGGTGTTATTTTAATCTTATTATACTTATACCCACAATATTGATGATAGAATATATATTTTTACCAAATAACAGTATGTGTTGTTCAGTTATGATGTGAAAATAAATGACAGTTTATGTGATGGATATGTTTATGAATTCCAGTTTTACTAAAAAAAGACTTTCAATTTTTTATTTTATTACATATTTAGATAAAAGAAAATATAACACAAGGTTCATATATAATTATACAAGTAATTACATGTAGTGTTGGAACATAATGTTTCAGTTTTTTCAATACATTAGTCATTGATTTTATGGTGGCAGGTTGTATTTTCATAATATATGTGTATAAACAAGAATTTCTATTGATAACATCTTGTTAGTCTCAAAATTTCCATTGATAGAATTTGCTGAAAAATAATACAATATTTTCCTACCTTTTTTTTAACCATTTTATTTGGATTACTACATAAAGTAGGAAAACCCTTTTAAATTCATATTATTATGTTTTAGCAGAAAATTGATACATTAGTAGAACTACTTTTTAGCTCACCTGGCTCAAAGGACCAAGTGAGCTTTTCTCATCACTTGGCCGTCCGTCTTCGTCTGTTAAATTTTACAAAAATCTTCTCTTCTGAGACTACTAGGTAAAATCCAACCAAACTTGGCCACAATCATCATTGTGGCATCTAGTTTTTAAAATGTGTCCAATGACCCAGCCTGCCAACTAAGATGGCTGAAATGGTGAAAAATAGAACAAAGGAGTCAAATGCAAGTTTTGCCTGTTATTCTGAAAACCGCTATAAATAGAGATAATCTGACCTGACTGAAAATGTTCAGAATGATAAGTTCTACCATTTGTTTCTTTAAGTCAAAACTGTCAGACGACTTCTTATAGGAGTTATTGCCCTTAAATGACAAATTTTACCATTTAAAAAATGTTTTGCCTATTATCTCTAAAATTATAATAGATAGACAAAAATTTAAAATAGCAAAAATAATCAGCAAGACAAGATCTACAAATAAGTCATCATGACCAAAATCATCAGACGACTTCTTGTTAGAGTTTTTGCCCTTTTTGATGATTTTTACCAATTTTTTGCATTATTGCGTAATATCTTAAAAAATAGAATAGATAGATAGAAACTTTGAAAAACAAAAATGATCAGCAAGACAAGATGTACAAAAATATGTCAAATGACCGAAATCATTAGTTGACTGCTTATTGAAGTTATTGCCCTTTGATGACAATTTTTCACATTTTCGCATTTTCAGCAAGACAAGATCTACAAACATGACAAATAAGCCAAATAGCTGAAATTTTCAGTTGACTCGTTTTTGGAGTTATTGCCCTTTAATGATAATGTTGAATACTTTTAAAGATAACTAGAAACTTTAAAAAGGAAAAAATCATCAGCAGGATAACTTCTACAAATATGTCAACATGACTGAAATTGTCAGTTAATTCTTAATAGAGTTATTCCCCTTTGATGATGATTTTTACAGTACTGTGTACTGCAGTGTCTTTTATATCTGACATAGGTTATTTACAGTATTTTATGCGACTTTTATATTTTCATCTAGCTTGTTGGTGTGTATGAAGTGCTTAAAGATGAAGAAAAGCGTAAGCGGTAAGATTACTTGAGAAAGTTTATATGGTAATTTATAGCACCACATGTACACTAAGTAAGATGTCAAACAACATGATTTTGTCTATTTCCACTATGTTATATATTATTTCACTCTTTGACAGAGATTGAACAATGTACAAAAAAAATGTAGTTTTGAATCATTGATTACTAATTTAGTTTCTAGACTTTATTTATATATATTATTACTATACTTTATATATATTATTACTATACTAAATTCTTTGAAAGAATATTATACATGTATTAGCAGAAGGCTTTGAAAATTAATACTTATAATTGGCATGACAGAAGAAAGGAAAATATTGAAGTTACGAGAAGAAGGCATGTATAAATATTCGAATATGAATAAAAGTTGGAGATATACCAATGAAATGCAGCAACCCAAAATTTAATATCTGATCATCATTAGATATGAAAATGTAGAAATCATAGGACTTATTTTGATTAAAAATCAACCAAAAATCAATTGTAACTAAAATACATTTTATAAATTTTTTTTTTTTTTATCTTCACTGAAAATAAAAATGAAATGTTGAATTAATGGTTTTGATTTCTATTTGAATGTTGGAACATACTGATAAATTGTAGAATAAGAAGAATAAGAATATTTATTGAATCCAATTAAAGGGCCCGTTTCCGAGCATATACACATATATATAGTATTAATTATACAGTAATTTTTAAGATATATTACATTAAAAATAAATGATTAAATAACTATACTCCATACCAGATGGTGTTTGAAAATAAATAAAATAGAAGCATAATACAATTAGGTAATGGAAGGATTTTTATGCCCCCGCTGAAGCAGAGGGGGCGTTAAGTTTTACCCTTATCCGTCCGTGTGTATGTACGTACGTCCCAAAGTTGGTTTCCTTCCTCAAACTTTAGTTTGCCTCAACCAAATGTAATGAAACTCATACAAAATGCTTATTACAACAAAACACAGATTAAGTTCGAATTTTGGTGGCATCACTTAAACCGTTCTAGAGTTATGCCCTTTACAAATGGAAAAATATTGAATTTATGTTTGCTTTCTCTAACTTTAATTTGTCTCAACCAAATGTTATGACACTAATACAAAATGCTTATTACTAAAAAACACAGATCAAGTTCGAATTTTGATGATGTCACTTAAACTGTTCTAGAGTTATGCCCCTTTACAAATGGGAAAACTGCTGAATTTTTTGTTTCTGTTCTCTAACTTTAGTTTGCCTTAACCAAATGTTATGAAACTTATACACAATAATTATTACCACAAAACACAGATCAAGTTTGAATTTTGGTGGTGTCACTTAAACCGTTCTAGAGTTATGCCCATTACAAATGGAAAAATTGCTGAATTTTTTGTTTGCTTTCTGTAACTTTACATTGTGTAGTTTGCCCCAACCAAATGTTATGACACTAATACAAAATGCTTAATACCACAAAACACAGATCAACTTCTAATTTTATGGCGTCACTTAAACCGTTCTAGAGTTATGCCCCTTTACAAATGGGAAAACTGCTGAATTTTTTGTTTCTGTTCTCTAACTTTAGTTTGCCTCAACCAAATGTTATGAAACTTATACACAATGATTATAACCACAAAATACAGATCAAGTTTGAATTTTTTGTTGCGTCACTTAAACTGTTCTAGAGTTAAGCCCCATTACAAATGGAAAATTGCTGAATTTTTCATTTCCTTTCTCTAACTTTAGTTTGCCTCAACCAAATGCTATGAAACATATACAGAATGATTATTACTACAATATACAGATCAAGTTTGAATTTTGGTGGCATCACTTAAACCGTTCTACAGTTATGCCCCTTTACAAATGGAAAAACTGCTGAATTTTTAGTTTCCTTTCTCTAACTTTAGTTTGCCTCAACCAAATAATATGAAACTTATACATAATGATTATTACCACAAAATACAGATAAAGTTTGAATTTTGGTGGTGTCAATTTTACTGTTCTAGAGTTATGCCCCTTTACAAATGGAATTCCGTTCTTTAACTTAAGTTTGCCTCAACCAAATGTCATGAAACTCATACTCAATACTTCACATTACCACAAACTCAGATCAAATTTAGGTAGCATCACTTTGATTGTTCTTCAGTTATGTCCCTTTACAACTTCATATGATATGCAAGCGGGGGCATCATCTGTGTCCCATGGACACATTCCCCATTTTTTTTTAACAAAAATGCCAAAATTTTTGCAACAATTATAGATGTATGGAAAGGTTTTCATAATTTTCAGTTTGATAACATATATATGTGTCAAATTTCAAATTTCAAACAAAAAATGGATGGATTTGTAAAAAATGATGTTCAGGTCAAGAACCTTATCAGTAGTTGTCTTTTCTTGTATTTAGTGTTTTTTGTCCATAAAAGATTCAAGTGTAGAATTATTGTTAATAAATAAACATAAGATTTTCTCTTCAGTTGATTCATATATTATATGTTTTGGTTTGTTTTAGGTATCATCTTGTTCTTGAAAATGGGTTACCAGATTGGAGACAACCTATATATTACTACAGACGAGCTCGTAAAATGGGAATGTTTGAGTTACTGGGATTATTGTTTAGTATTCTTACTCTTGGTCATTACATTGTTTTATGGGCTTCATATGCAGAAAGAAAATTTACAGTGGTAAGGAGTACTCTTAATAAATTGTTTTTGAGTGTAACAGATAAACAAACTGGGCAGTGATTACTTGAGTTAGCTTCAACAATACCAAACAAATGCAATTTGTGATTAAAAGTTAACTTGCATTTGTTTGGTATTGTTGAAGCTAACTCAAGTAATCACTGCCCAGTTTGTTTATCTATCACAAGTAAAATAGAAAAAACATGAATATAATTACAACAATTTTATAAGCAAAATGCTGTTCTAAATGTTAGCAACTAAAACACAAGAATTTACTATCCATTAAGATTCTGCAATAAAAGTATCTGATATATAAAAAGACATGAACAATGTTTCTTATAATGAGCTTATCCTTTTCACAGTGTTTTAACTGTTAATATGACTTATCAATAGACATCTTATGGTGTTTATATATCTCAACTTGTTCGATTCGCTTGTGTATGTAACAACGTATTTGATTTTAACGAAAGAAACCTCTGTATTACTGAAAAATTATTATACCAGGGTTTTCGATATCACAAACTAGTCAAAACATTTACTAAATTTTATCATTGGTACAAGGACATCATTCGTAAATATACCGGTAAATCAACATGCAGACACATTATACATTCAGGTATTTCACATCCAATCTTTTATGGTAATATCCTATTCAAAGCACAAAAATGTCGACATTCACCTCAAAAGCTAACCAAACCTTTAAATAGACTTATTCAGAAGGGATATAGTTACGATACTGTTGTCAGGTCATTAAAGATGGCATATTTTGGTATTACCGGTAATATTGATTCACTCATAGGGTCTTTGCATCGGAAATAAACACATTTATTCTAAAACCAGTTGTTGGCATGATACGGGTTATGTTCTTCTCATATATTTTATGACGGTATGATACTAGACACTTAACGGGAGGGATTGTGCTTGATTTTTATATGATGAAGACATAATCTTTCAATCAGTTTAATTGAGGTCTGGAGCTGGCATGTCAGTAACTGCTTGTAGTCCTTTGTTAATTTAATGTATCATTGTCATTTTGCTTAGTTTCTTTTGTTACCTATTCTGACATCGAACTCAGACTTCTTTTAAACTGAGTTTTACTGTGCGTTTTACTGTGTGTTTGTTTATTCTACATTGGCTAGAGGTATAGGGGGAGGGGGGAGATCTCACAAAACATGTTTAACCCTGCCACATTTTTGCACCTGTCCCAAGTTAGGAGCCTCTGGCCTTTGTTAGTTTTGTATTTTTTTTAAATTTTAGTTCATTTATATGTTTTGGAGTTTAGTGTGACATCCATTTTCATTGAACTGGTACACATTTTTGTTTAGGGGCCAGCTAAAGCCCGCCTCCGGGTGCAGGATTTTCTGGCTGTATTGAAGACCCATTGGTGGCCTTCAGCTATTTTCTGCTGTTTGGTCGGGTTGTTGTCTCTTTGACACATTCCCCATTTCCATTCTCAATTTTATCATTTGGAAATCATGCATAGCAATAATTCATCACTTGACCTTTAGACTAATGTTGAATGTGTAGGGATGTGCCATAATGTACACTGTCCTTGTTGACATTGGACCTCCGACTTTCTGAAATTTAGTGCTGACAAAACCATATGCCTCAGCTTTTACAGGATAATTAAATTAGTGAGAAAAAAATTGTACAGAAACACAAAATCTACACAAATGAATATAAATTTGCATCAACATCACTAACATTTTATACACAATCCTAATGTACACATCTATCTGTAATTTGTCTGTAAATATACATTACAACATAGGTTCTCTCACCTGTTGTTGGGTAGCAATACATTGATGTGCTAAAAAGTTGAACCCTAACAAGAAGGTGCAAGATTGTATATTTTCTTATGACGGATTAGTATTTTTGTTTAATTGGATTTTGGATAGTTTAAAAACTTATAAGACTTCTTTATCTAGCTATATAATTGAAGGTATGTACATGGTAAATATGTTACTTTTTAGTTGAAATCTTTTTATTTACTGTTGTAGTCTGAAAACTTCACTGATAGACTTAAGAAAATGGAATCAAAGAATAGGAAAATTAGAGGGAAACTTGAAGATCAGATAGAAGAGGAGATGGAAATAGCCCTTCAGTTAGTTCCAAGACCAACAATGTCAAAGCTATGGCCAGTTAGACTTACTTTAGCAATTATCAACCTTGTAAGAATTTCCCCTACCCTAATAAAACAGCTAGTAGAGTATATAAAATGGAGACAAGAATTAAAGAAGATAGAAGAACAAGAAGAAGAAGAAGAAGAGGAGACTGATGGTTAGAATTTCATATCTAAGATAATGCAAATAAACACCACGATAATAAATAGAAGGGAATTTTTTATGGTTAATGGATAATTTTACAAATAAAAGCTAGACCTTATCGTTTTAGATTTTTGGCATCTGTGCTGTCTGCAGTTGTTATTTAGAATGTGACAGTTCTTTAAGGGACTACAGAAAACCTTAATAGTATCAATATTTGCAGTTGTGTACTAAATAACAGGAAACAAAACATATATTCCTCTACAGTTACTTCTGTTCACTATTTAATTCTTTGTATTTTGATATACAAATTTAGATATTGTGAAGAAGGTGAAAAGAAAAGTGAAGCCAGAGTTTCCAGAGTACAACCCACAGACTACTGACGGTCCAGTTGTATATACACCTATTGGATATGAAGATGATGATCAGAATTTACAGGTTGTTGAGAAAAAGGTAACGATACTGTAAAGTTAGATTAATACAGATCATTCAAAAACAGTTTTAAAAGAAATATAAAACAAGAACTTTCAAGTTCATTTTACATTAGAAATGACCTCAGCTTCACCATTCAGGATTTTTTCTGACTATCAAATGGCAGTAAGTCAACGTTTTTTTTGAGAATAGTTCTTATAAAAGTGTTTAAATAAGACCCGTAACAGTTTTACTTTTTTAATATTGCATTTTTATCTCTTCACTTGTCTTTCATTTAAGTTTATGACTTTCAATCTGAGCAATATAATGCAGGATGTTAATTGGAGCCATGGAAGCGATTTATTAATCTTACTATCTATATATTGTTTCCAAGATTAGTTTACATCTTCTCTCAGGAAAATAATAGGAGAGGGGGTTAATAGTATACACAGTGATACAAGACTTTACAATACTATAACTTAACAAATGTATTAAAAGTATGAACAAAACAAAATCAATGTACAGGTAATTGCAGATTTGCATAAAAATGTAAGTACAAGGGAAAGCTGCATGAATAAGATCTTTTACACTAAACGCAATGATCACTTTGCAATAAATGGAGTAAAAGGAATCATTACTATGTCATCCTAACAAGAATTTTCTGTTTTTCTTCCAACACCATAAATTCAAACATATTTTTATGAGTTATTTTTGGACTTATTCTTTGTCATGTGACTGTTAAATCTCTACGGGGCATTACAAATAAGATTACAGTTGTCAGGGCTCATGCTACCAGGCGACTAGGGCGAAGATGTCGCTTTCCCAGACCCTCACAAGCGAAAACTATCGCCCTGTGGTTTACGATACTCGCTTTCAGTCGCTTTAATCATCAGCAATATTCAATTTTTCCCGTCGATGAAACAGCAATTTTTCAGTAAAAAGTAAAGAAATTCAGACATCAACGATTTATTTTCTTCAGAAAAGAGGTTAAAGCATTGATTTTGAAGTTGGTTGCATGTTATTTCAAAAAAACAATTTTTTATCACTTCCGGTACTTGTTAGAGAGCGTACATCAAATCATTCTAATTTTCGACAAAATAAGTTCATTACTTCATTAGAACGTGATGAAATTTGCCTGAAGTAAATTTGTTATCCATGTATTGCATTAAAAACGTCATATTCCTTTCCAAATAGCGTGTCAAACATCGTTTATATTTGTAAATTTTTCTTCTTCGTCCGCCATTGAAATATTTGTACTAAACTACTGATCAGAACCGGACCAGCTATGACCGAAATCCGGATTCATACGATAATGACTACTAAAGTTAAGGCAAAACTCCATACATATTTGGAGGTGCTCCTAATTAAAGGAGGCTGATACTAAGAAGAAGAAGAAGACTACTGAAGAATGAATGGCACAGCTGACAGAGGAATATTGATCCCAAATAGAAAAATTACACATTCCACGCGCATTAACATACTTTTGGTTAGATCTACTTGATTAATGTATATATTTCCATGTATATGAATTGTTTCAATTTATTAATTAAAATTGCTCAACTCTGGGACTACTATACTACATTGTACTATGTCCAAGCTTAACTGTGTTAAATTTATATATCTTTTAAATGAGAATTTTAACCACTGAATTTCACAAACATAACAGAGTATATTTTAAATTGAAATAACAACTTTCTTTTCCTTTTTGATATAAAAAAAAATCTTTTTTATTACTGCTAGATATTTTTTTTTTCTGACAAGAGGACTAATATGATTGTGCAACTAGATATGATAAAATTAAACAACTTTGAATTTGAACTGTTACTTTTATTGCACTCCCAGGTACAAATTGAGCAGTATAAAAAAATAAAATACATAAGGCCCTTTGTATTATAGTAAAACCAAACATTGTAGCGCCACGAGCGAACGAGCACTTCTCTCTCAAATCTCATCACTTCTCCCTCTCAGTTTCAAAAAGAGAAGTCACTTCTCCCTATGATTCTGAAGTAGTGTGAGCCCTGAGTTGTATGTCCTAAATACTTATTGGCTGATAAATTATTGTCTGTTAAGGACAATTAGTTAACTAGGAATTTATACCTATTTATTTTTCATATCAATAGAAGAAGATTAGGAATATTTGTCAATGAGACTGCAACAAAACAACACAATAAAACTAGAAAAAAACATATTGAAGTGCAACACTTGGTATTCAATAATATACAAGTAAAATATGTTAAGCTATGAATTTTTCCTAGTTTAGACAAGCTGTGAATGAATCAAAACTACATTACAAAAGATCTCCTTTCAACATCAAATTCTTTGAAGGACAAAACCAAGGATTGAAACAATATCAACTGGATTTTAATTTACTTTAATTTTCCACAAATGACAAGATGTTGAATTTTTTAATTTATGGTGAAACTTTGCATTCAATTCATTACATAGTTTGTCTGGCCAACTCCTGCGACAGTTTTCATGCTAGAAACTTTATATTATGCTGGGTCTTAATCATATAATAAAGGTGTGCAAATTATAGGGAGTTTTGATTTTGCCATTTGTTTGTGAAATTATGTTACATGGTACATGGCTAGAACTTTTATATTAAGTGGATTGTACATAAACTAAAGGTGTGCATATTATCAGTAGTTTACAACTTTACATTATATTGTAATAATTATTACATAATGAAGTTAAAATGCATTTATGATGACTTTTCAATTTTCAGTTAGTGTTTTCACATTTGTCCCACATTCTCCAGGAATAGTTGTTTACTGCATATTGCACTTACCATGTACATTTTTGCATTATTAACTATTACATTTTATAGCTAATGTTACTTTGCAAAACTTAAGTATGAAGTTTGAAAGGAACAACAAAATATTGTCCTACATAATGGAATTAATCATAAGTATAGCTGGAGCATCAAATGTGTCTCACTCTCAGACACAACCATTTCAATTTCTACTTCAACATCACTGTTTTTGGTGCACTATATTCATGCATACAGCAGGGGCATCATCTATGACTAGTTTTGCTAAATGTTGACTTTTAAATAGAATTTTTGTTATTATAGGGAGAATGGAGTCAAGAAGAGTTAGCTATGTTAGCTAAGGCTGTAAGTAAGTTTCCTGGAGGCACACCTGGGAGATGGGAAAAGATTGCTGTTATGATGGAAAGACCTGTTGCAGAGGTAATATATCTTTTATCAATAATTTTCGCCCTTTCTAGACTTGAACTTTCTAGTGGTCTTTTGAATGATATCCATCATACACATATATGATAGGATATTTGGTCAAATTGTTTATGATTATTAAATGGCTGTTTTTATACAACCGCAAAATTTTTTTGCGGTCGTATATTGGTATGACGTTGGCGTTGTCGTCGTCGTCCGAAGACACATTGGTTTTCGCACTCTAACTTTAGTTAAAGTGAATGGATCTCTATGAAATTTTACCATAAGGTTCAATACCACAAAAGGAAGGTGGGGATTGATTTTGGGGGTTATGGTACCAACAGTTAAGGAATTAGGGGCCAAAAAGGGGCCAAAAATAAGCATTTTTGTAACTTCCAGACATAACTTGTGTGTAAGTGTATGGATCTCTCTGACATTGTACCTCTGACATTGTACCACAAGGTTCCATATCACAAAGGGAATGCTGGGATTGATTTTGGGGGTAATTGCCTCCAAATTTTAGGAATTAGGGGCCAAAAAGGGGCAAAAAACAAGCATTTTTCTAGTTTCATGACAGTAACTTGTGTGTAAGTGTATGGATCTTTATGAAATTTTACTACAAGGTTCCATATCACAAAGGGAATGCTGGGTTTGATTTTGGAGGTAATTGCCTCCAAATTTTAGGAATTAGGGGCCGAAAAGGGGTAAAAAACAAGCATTTTTCTAGTTTCCAGACAATAACTTGTGTTCAAGTGTATGGATCTCTCTGAAACTGTACTGCAAGGTACCATACCACAAAGGGAAGGCTGGGATTGATTTTGGGGGTAATTCCCTCAAAATTTTAGTAATTAGGGGCCATTAAAGGGCAAAAAAACAAGTTTATCTAGTTTCAGGACAATAACTTGTGTGTAAGTGTATGGATCTTTATGAAATTGTACTGCAAGGTTCCATATCACAAAGGGAAAGCTGGGTTTGAGTTTGGGGGTAATTGCCCTAAACGTTTAGGAATTTGGGGCCAAAAAGGGGCCAAAAAACAAGCATTTTTCTAGTTTCCATACAATAACTTGTGTTCAAGTGTATGGATCTCTCTGAAATTGTACTGCAAGGTACCATACCACAAAGGGAAGGCTGGGATTGAGTTTGGGGTGATGAATCATAAGGGGGTTCAAAAAATTTGGGGGGGATTTTTTTTTCCTTTTTTTTTCTTTAAAATTTTCCATTTTAAATTGGTTATTTCTGATTTATATATAAAAGTAAATAATAATGATATGGTTTGAATAGGTAAAATAAAAAATTTAAAGTTCTTAGACCACTTTCATTCTGTGTCAGAAACCTATGCTGTGTCAAATATTTAATTACAATCCAAATTCAGTGCTGTATCAAGCTTGAATGTTGTGTCCATACTTGCCCCAACTGTTCAGGGTTCGACCTCTGCGGTCGTATCAAGCTGCGCCCCAGCGGAGCATTTTATTTTTTAATTATTGCCATTGTACCTTGGACAGATAAAATATATGCAATGCAGGGGAAATTGGAACTCTGTTCTTTTATTACAAATAGTCTCTTAAACCTTTTCCATTTGTACAGGTGACTTAATTTTAAGTAAATGAATTTTTGTATTTTGCAAACTATTTGGTATAATTGATTAAATAATTTATTGATTGATCAGTCAGTGGCAGTATTTTATGTATTTTCTGCAACTTTGATGTAAATGTTAATTTGCATTGTTTTAGGGTTTTATTTGATTTTTTGTGTTTTAACGCCACTTTTGAGCACAGCTTTTGGGCTATTTCGGCCAGTTTTTATTGGTGGAGGAAGCCGTAGCGCCTGGAGAAAACCACCGAGCTTCGATAGAAAAACTGACAATCCTAGTCAATTAAGATTGGAGTCGAGTGCACCCGCACGAGCGGGGTTCGAACTCACAACCTCAGTGTTGACTGGCTAGTGATTACAGTAGTAACTACTTAGACCACTCGGCCACCGAGGCCCCTTTTTAGGGTTTTATGGGTGTGGACTATTTCTTTTTGAGGAATAAGAAAATCCTATAATTATTTTTTTAAAGATTTATACAGTGTATAGTAATTTAACCTATTTATAAATGTGTATTTGATGTGAACATTTTCAGAATATCTGACGTAGGTACTTGTAAAATAAAATAATTATTTTCAAAATTATTTGAACTCTATTGATAATATTATTATAATATTTCTAGGTGACAGCAAAGGCCAAAACATTGAAAGGATCTTATAACATTACAGCAAATGCCAGTTTACAAGGTTAGCATCTAATTTCTTTTTTTCTAAACATATATTCATATGTATTGAAAATTAGAAGAAGAAAATGTCACCATCATGAACTTATTTATAGCATTAGCATCAAATCAGGGCTGGACATTTGTCCAATTGAAATCTTTACAAACAATGGAGATTTTATATAGCACAGCTAAGCAGTCGATCTTGATCTATTTTAAAATTATTGTCAAATCTTAAGATACTGAAAATTCAGAAATTTATTGGTACACTGTTGTATTTGCATCAAATCTTTTGAACATATTAAATCAGGTATCTTAGTGTTTTAAATGTCTGTACTAATGTGATTGCTTTACAATGTATGAAGTTATGATATTTCAGGTGGAATAATGAAACAGCCAAAGAAATCTCAAACAATTACAGATGAAATGATATCTCAAAATGAAGAATTACCTACTGCTAATGGTAAAGGTGATATAGGTGATAGTCAGGTTAGACGAAGGAAGAATAAACCACAAAAGACTGCTGATAAAACATTGTTGATTGGTCATACTCAGCCAGTCAAAAATGATAGTGAACAAGGAGGGAAATTCTCAGAACATACAGATTGTAGTAGCTCAAAACAAAAAATCACAAATAATGTTAGTGGTAAGATTAGCTCATTGCCTAATGGAACTGATGTATCATCAAATCTATCTAAGTCAGGGAGTGCTTCAAAATTGACTGATGATTCAGATGGATGGAATAAAAATCTACAAACGATATTAGAATGGGCATTAAGACAACATCCCAAAGGTACAGACCAAAGATGGGACAAAATAGCACAGCATATCCCAGGAAAATCTAAGGTAATATTATTATTCTTTAAATCTTTTTATGAATGATATTCTGAATGATTTCAGGAATTATTTATTATTACTTATATTTACATCATGATAATTAATTTTATTATATACTTAGTAGTAAATACAGATAAATTGTATATGTGTAATACAATCATTGGCAAGCGTGCTGTATCAGCCACCCGTGATGATATTGATATCAGCACGGTTGCAAAGGCTTTATCACACCTTTAATCTGTATGACGTCACGTCATCGATTACAGTCACTGTTGCAAAGGCTTTATCAAACCCATAATCTGTATGACGTCATTTCAAACCTCCTTACCTGTATGACATCATGTCACATAAAAAAACATCTACGTGAGGTATATGTATATAATAAAGTGTATATGATATGGCTTTTTCAATATCACACACAGTATCAACCCTCAACCAATATAATCCCTCGGATTGAAACTAATTCATTAACATGTTTATTCATAATTTTGAGGATAAGAGGATATTATCATAGAACCGCGGGAATTATACATGTACTAGTACGCGCAAGCTCGCTTTTTTATGTAACGTCATATCCGAAAAATTTTGGCGGGAAAATGCTCGAGAGGGTAAAAAAGGAATATCCAAAATGGCAAGTACCATGGTATTTGAGGCAAATTCGTTTGAAATGAGGAAAAAATATTAGAATATGCGAAAAATACACTGGCTATCAACCAATCAAAATCTGGCTTTCTCATATAAGGTGTTATTATCTATATATAAACTAATGCTTTGTCATAAGTAAAAGTATGATAAATAATATTATTTTATTTTCTGAAGTGTCATGATTGAATAGCCAGATATATTTGGATTTTTTATAATTACAGGAGGATTGTATAGTCAGGTTTAAGTATTTAGCTGATCTAGTCAAGAAGAAGAAAGAACAAAATACACAAGAACAATAATATTTAATGAAGTAAAATAATCAGTGTAGTAACAAAAAGGAATTTATTTTACTGTAATCAAGAAATATAGGAAACCAAAGATATTCTTATGTACTGATGCTGAAGGGTTGATTTAAATGCTGAGGTCAGTTCTATTGGTGTTATTTATTGGAAGATTTTTGTCGTACATTTAATGTATTAATAAATTTTTATAGAAGTCATACATTGTTGTATTAATAAATTTTTATAGAGAGATACTTTTAATTTTTAAAAGCATTCTTGTTGATGGCAGATATTGTTCATTGTTTCTGTTTAAAATATTCACAACTTTTATTAGCAGTTTCTTTTAACTTTTACTTTCCGCTATATAGATGATGTTCTCTCACTAGAACACATCTATCCCATCGAACTTGAGATAAAAGATACAACAGATACAGTTAAGTCTGCCTCATATCTTGACTTACGTCTAGAAATTAACAATGATGGTTGGTTGAAAACAAAACTGTACAACAAAAGAGATGATTTCAGCTTCCCAGTTGTGAACTTTCCATTTCTATGTAGCAACATTCCAGCAGCACCTGCATACGGATTATATATCTCCTAGTTGATACGATATTCCACGGCTTGTATCTTTATACGACCAAAAAAAATTTTGCGGTTGTATATTGGTATCACGTCCTCGTCCTCGTCAGAAGACATTTGGTTTCCAGACAATAACTTCAGTAAATGTAAATAGAAATCTATGAAATTTAAACACAAGGTTTATAACCACAAAAGGAAGATTGGGATTGATTTTGGGGGTTATAGTCCTAACAGTTTAGGAATTAGGGGCCAAAAAGTGGCCCAAATAAGAATTTTTTTTTGGAAAAACGGCGGGGGATGGAGGTGAAAAAAAAATTGGCGGGGGGGGGGGGGTAAAAAAGAAATTGTGATGGGGGACCATTTTTTCTCATTTCATATTTCAGAAATTAAAAAGAAATTTCTTCAAATATTTTATTTTTTATTTGCCAAAAAAAGGGAGGGGGGGGGGGGGTAAAAAAAAAATTTTTGGAGGGGAGGGTGGCAATTCGCAACAGCATAGTGTATTGCACAAAAGCAAAAAAAAAGGGAGGTCATTTTTTTTTTTTTTTTAGGGGAGGGGGGTCAATTGGCAACAGCATAGTGTCAGGTGGTGGTCACCTTTTGAAATCTTAAATTAAAATTCAATTTTTTTTATTGATATCATGAAAATAGTTACAACTATAGAATACACAAGTTACACATGATTTATAAAATTGATTCTAATTTCATTTTTCTTTGATGCCTGCGTGCAAACATGTCAAAGATCACATAAAGTTCTAAATCTAAATTGTAATGCACGTGCATCAGTGCAAGTCCATTTAGTTGATCCTGGCCCATTGTTGCACGTAAAAGATTGTCATCTCCAGAGTTAAAACAAGAGCCATGACCGCGGTTTAAGAAAGAGAAGAAAGTCTATCATTAATGCTGGAGATCAGTTCATCAATATACGGAATACAGAGTGCACGTCGAAAGTAAACATCAGGTGTTTCTCCAGGAACATTACAGCAGTTTCGTTGCCTACCGCATGTTCTGGGTACAGAAGGCTCGATATCATGCTCCTTTCCCATGACGACAGCTTCTTCATATCAAGCAAGAACTTGCAATCAACATTTTCTCTAACCTCGATCAGAAGAGACAATACTGATTGGACACTCATATATGCAGATATGATGTCTTGACTTCTTCCTTGAAGTTTTCTGCTTAAACCAACTGTGTAACCCATAAGATTTTTTACAGTAATAAGAGTAATGACAAAACTTAAACTTGTAATAGCTGCAAAAAGTGTTGTTGCTTCTGAACTGTTGATACTATTTGTAATGCTTTTTTGTTATTTATTGTTAACATGGATCTTGTCTATATACCAGCTTTGATTATTTGGTATTACTACAAATTTTCACTTCTTTGTACTATGAACATCAAAATTATTTCATTTTTCCTTAGATGCTGTTCTTGGACCTGTACAGGAAGTTTTATCTAGCACTAATTGTATAGTTTTATTGTTGATATTCACCCCATATGTACCAAGTGTTATATTAGTTTTATTGATATTAAAGAAATTTCTTGGTATTCCTAAACGGTAGATTTTATACACACAGAAGAAGAAGTATACTTAACAACAAAGTTATTTTCATTTACCTGTGTATAATATGATGCAGGTTTCTTCAAAAGTGATGATTTTCTAAAAATTGTTTGACATTTCACAGTGATATCATACTTTAACTTTGTTTAAACCTGTTTATTTACTTTTGACTTTAAATATTTATCCCTTGTAATTTTTTATTAACTGTGTATTTGCATTCAGGTGTCTCAGGTCAAATTTATTCCTTCATTGTGTGTTAATTTACGTTTTTTGATTGAGTTAAGCCTTCCAATTGATATTTATAGTGTGTTTTTCTATGTTGTGATGTTATACTATTGATTCAGAAAAGGGAGAAGGTTTGGTACCATTAAAACGTTTAATCCCACGGCAAATGTTTGCACCTGTCCTAAGTCAGGAATCTGATTACAGTAGTTGTCGTCTGTGTATGTAGTTCATATGTGTTTCTTGTTTCTTGTTTCTCGTTTTTGTCTCGCCTTGACTGAGTCAAAAAGCGAGATAAAGGTATGCTGTTTCCGGCGACGGCGGCGTCATCAATGTATTAGTTTGTGATTAGGTCTAGTTCATGATGAACCACTAGTGGTAGGTCAATGATATTTGGTATGCAGTTGTATTAGCATTGGCACATCTCATTACCATGGATATTATTTGGCCCCGCCCCCTCAGTCAAGGTCTATTGACTTTGAAACTTTTCATAGTTTACATGTATTAGTTTGTGATTAGGTCAATTTATGGGGAACCACTAGTGGTAGGTCAATGATATTTGGTATGCAGTTGTATAAGCATTTGCATATCCCATTTCCATGGACATTATTTGGCTCCACCCCCTTAGTCATGGTCTATAGACTTTGAAAATTTTGCTAAGTTAACATGTATTAGTTTGTTATTAGGTCAGTTCAAGGGGAACCATTAGTGGTAGGCCAATGTTAATTGGTGTTCAGTTGTATAAGCATTAGCACATCTCAATTCCATGGAGATTATTTTGCCCCGCCCCCTCAGTCATAGTCAATTGACTTTGAAACTTTTGCTTAGTTTACATGTATTAGTTTGTGATTAGATCAGTTTAAGATGAACTGCTAATGTTAAGTCAATGATATTTGGTATGCAAATGTATTGGCATTTGCAAGTATCGTTTCCATGGAGATTATATAGCCCCACCTCTGATCATGGTTCATTGACTTTGAAACTTTTACATTGTTTACAAGTTAATGTTTGTGTTTAGGTTTGTTTAAAGGGAACGACTTATGATTAGTCAATGGTATTTGGTATGCAGTTTTATTAACATTGGCACATCTCATTTCCATGGAGATTGTTTAGCCATGTACCTTCAGTCATGGTTCATCGACTTTGAATATTTGCATAACTTACATGTTAAAGTATTGCTATTTTAATTTCAACATTTGCATTATCAAAATTACAAAAAGGTGAGACATATCTCTGTGATAACAGTTTATTCATCCTTTCAGCTATTCATGCTTATTTATTTCCATGCACACAATTACTTTCTGCATGTAGTGCTGCAGAATATTCCTTTACATCCTGTCTTGGGCAAGATTATTTATGTTCAGCTTTTACCAGCTAGGCCAGGATATTCATTTTCAAATCCTCACCCTAAAAATCAAATGGTTGTCCCCATATACGGAAACAGCACAGGCACTTGTCTCTGGAAAAAAAATCATTTATACCTTTCTATAACACCTTGTATATAAGGAGGGATTCAGAGACAACGCGTTGGCAAAAAACGAAAGACGAACAAAAAATCTTCAAAACAAAACACAGAAAACCAGACCGAGCAACACAAGCACCTTTTAAAAAATGGAGATGATATCAGGTGCCCCAAAAAGGAAAGCAGATCCTGCTCCACATGAGGCACCCGTCGTGTTGGAACCTTAGTTTCTTAATAATTTCTTTATTTATAAACAGACAATTTTAAAAAATCATGTCAGTATCGCAGCTCTGACTACTGAGCTGGTGATACCCTCAGAAACTGATAGTAAACCAGCTGTGTTATCAATTGCCAGATTATTTTTAGCTCACCTGGCCTGAAGGACCAAGTGAGCTTTTCTCATCACTTGGCGTCCGTTGTCCGTCGTCGTTAACTTTTTACATTTTGAACTTCTTCTTACTGATTGGAATGAAACCAAACATGGCATGAATGTTCCTTATGAGGTGCTGATCAAGTGTTGTTACTTTGAAGCCGATCCATCATCCAAGATGGCCGCCAGCGATGGACTTCGTTTAACATAGGACTCTATGGACAATACATACAAATGTCTTCTTTTAGAGAACCACTGAATGGAATGAAATAAAACATGGCATGAATGTTCCTTATGAGGTGCTGACCAAGTGTTGTTACTTTGAAGCCGTTCCATCAACCAAGATGGCCGCCAGCGGGTACTTCGTTTAACATAGGACCCTATGACGTTACGCACGATATTGCGTTTCATTTGGTAACGTCAAAATTTGACGTTTTACGCAGAATATCGAGGATATTTTTTTTCGTTGGCAAATTTTTTTCTGCACATCAATATGAAAACTTCTAAATGTTTGGTTTTTACTGAATATGCATGAAATATTTCCCACTGGAAGTTACGCAAGCAACAAACAACACGATATATGTATTTGAGTAATATAATAGGGTCTATATAAAAATAAGAAGATGTGGTATGATTGCCAATGAGACCACCCTCTACCAGACACCAAATCACATAAAACGAAATAACATGCAATATTTCCCCATTTAAATCCGAGAATAAGGAGGAAGATGTCCATTTGCTTTAATAAAAAAGTGTGTGGAGGATTACAAGTTAAAAAGGCCCTACTTAAAAAGTTAACTTGACATTTTTTGATATCGGAACTATTAAACTAAGAAATACCGGTAAAACTGTTGTCAGAAAAAAATCGTTATATTCATCCCATATGCTTACAAACTTTGTAAGGTTTCAAGCACAATAATTTTATTTTTACTTTCAATTTCTATTCATATGAATCGTATTGCAGAGAAATAACAAATCGCAGTTTAACGCCTCACAAATTTGAAAATAAATGGCTGATTTGTTATCCTCTCGTAATACAGCCTTTTCACGACTTTAGAACCTCGACTAAATGAACAACCCAAGTCATCGGAAATATTTCTGTTATAGTTTGTGGTCTTCTTGATCTATTACTACTCACAAGGAATTATATATTTAAAAGGAATGGAAACGCGACCGACTTCAAAGAAAATTGTATGATGCATCTCTAACTTGGGTGGTGTGTTAATTACATCCCGTCGCTCTAACTGGCTCATTACTTATCTGGCAGAAGTTATCGAACTTGGTCATTTAATCATGAAATGAAACAAGAAATTGTCTATTTAGATATACAATTCCTTAAATGAAATAAACAGAAAATACAACCTTAAACAAAGTTACTTCTGAAAAACATTTTTTTCTTGTACCTCCTCTTGATATTTCACGATGGTATGCAACAATTAAGATCAATTAATAGTTGAAATCTGACATATTTTAATACGAGTTTTTAAAAAGATTTAAGGTAATGCAAAAAGTTAAAAAATAACTTTTCAATTTTGGAATATGACTGGAATAGAAAAGTATAAAGGAAGAAGTACGTGAACAGATGTAGTATTTTGTCTAGATAAAAGAACTTAGATAATAGGTGTTATAATAAACACCGGTATGGGATATCAAATTTGCAGGTATAATCTAGCATGTATCATTGAACAGCAAATTTTTGTCGTATATATATTTAAGCAGGAACAGTGTATACATTTTTGTACTAACTATAGGCTGTCCCTGATTTAAGGTGTCAAAAAGAAATCACGCCGAGCTCACCTGTTAATAAATGCTAAATTATGCCGTGGTGCAATAATTTTTTTAATTAGAAACAGTTAAAACTTTCCGACATTCGCATATTATTTATTTTAACACCGAAGGAATATTTTGCTACCTCTAGACTACTGCTCTTCTAGCAAAAAAAAAGGAAGGAACTGTTTTGCTTTTAAGCTTGTGGAAATTTGCTGCAAAGCTTAATAATGGCAAACTACAATACCAAACAACGATTAAGTATAAAAATAGTATTTGACAAAAGATAAATGATTAAAATCGTGTATAAAACGGCACAATCAATCTCAATCGGAAGTCTTATATACATTTCTTGCCTGTAATTTCCGACTTCGTCGGTGTGGAACTTGACTGAACAAAATGGCGTCAATGTGAACTATAAACATGGGATTTTGAAAAATCATAGCAAATTCGTTTTTATCACCATTTTCATAAAACCAACACTATGTGATAGAAAAAAGATTAAGCTTTTAAGTTGTATGTCAATGTGACATCTATTTCAAGTAGTTATTTAACCCTTACCAAAATACGAAGTGTCGATGTATTTATTGACGCACTACTTCAAATTTTCAACATGTTTCGAAATAAAATCATTTACATTGTACCAATTACATTTAGCATTCGTAATTTAGACCAATCTGTAGAAAAATATTCCTTCTTTAAAATGATATCTCATTTTCTCACTTTGTTCTTTCTACTTTCCAATATTTAAAAGAAATCGTAGTACACTCCCAGATTGATAGACATATTTTGACAGAATAATGAAATTCAAAACTGAAATTTCGAAAAATCGTAGAAAATTCAGAAATTTTACTAGAAACTTAAAAAATGGGCTAAATGATAGAATAAGGTTTCAGCCTCATAATGATATCAACTGTTTTGTTTTGCACTTCGTAGTTGTCGAGCTTTTAGAAAAAAATATACAATTCCTTGCTACTCATAATCTATATCGTCTGCCAAAACCCTAATTATCATGTCCTTTTCAACAATGTCTTCGATTATATTATAATTTGTATCGCAATGGTCATCATTTTTCTTTCCTGACTTTTGAATCAATTTGACTTTTTTGAAATTTCCTATAAATTGCGCTTTCTCGCAATCGTATATTGCTCTATTAAATCAGTTATTACAATTGTAACACGATAAGTCTCGGACAAGAAGATTTGTAACAAAATTTGTGGATATTATTTGGTGTATTTTGCGAGTGTGTTCTACGGGTTTACAATTTATATTACAACAAAGGTTCTACGACTTCCTCTATCATAGAAAACCGTCCGATATGATACAACCAAGGGCGCTAAAAGTTGAGTTAAACACCAAAATACAAATGTAACAAAAAATTCAATTTAATTTTAAAAGACATAAATAGCGTCCCGAATCGACAACGTTCAAAGTGTAAGAAAATCATGCAGTGGACAAAATTGCAAGACATTGGATTTGTTTAAAAACGAAGTCGTTTTGACTAAGCAAATTGTCAAAAAGTATGTAACTGTTTTGAAAGGTTAAAGTACAATTACGGAAAAGCACTATTTAGTATGCAACAAATCGAAATTTTTAATAAATGACGTCGCAACTGACAGCTTACATGTAAAAAGCCGCGAAATTCGACATTGGACATTCTTGCAAGACATTTGCCAGAAGCCGTTGTATTTTTATTTGTGTTGTGAGTGCTGTAAAAATTTGGTTTTGAAATGGTTTATTTATGTACTTTTGAAAGCATGATTTATGAAAACGAAATTTCATATAATCTTATATTAAAATAAGAACCTATAAATTTTGATATCTTACCATTTTCCGAAATCTGACAATGGTGAAGATTATTCATTTTTGGAAAAAAATAGCTTTGGCCTTTGCATCAACGCAAATTTAGTAATTACGTAATACTTTATATATGACGCATATCATTCATGCGAGTTTTTGCGTATTTGACACTGTTTCAAAGAGCACAAACACCCCTATAAAAGTTATTATGCGTATAGTCTGTTACATCTGACAGTCATAATTTTTACGTTTTGCCAATATTTTTGTCCTTATTCTAGACTATTGTAAAATATTATAAAGGAATTTGTTGATTTTTTTAAAACAGTAATACCTGCCTAGTCTATGAATATAAATCTTATATAGCTTAACTCCTTAAATAAAAAGCTGTTTATCAGTGTGTACTGGACTGGTTGGTTTCACGGTATTGACGCAATAACGTGCGTAAAGTCTATGGACAATACATACAAATGTCTTCTTTTGGAGAACCACTGATTGGAATAAAACCAAACATGGCATGAATGTTCAATATGAGGAGCTGACCAAGTGTTGTTACTTTGAAGCCGATCCATCATCCAAGATGGCCGCCAGAGGGGGGTCGGGACTTAGTTTAACATAGAGCGGCCTATGGGAAATACATACAAATGTCTTCTTTTAGAGAACCAGTGAATGGAATGAAATAAAACATGGCATGAATGTTCCTTATGAGGTGCTGACCAAGTGTTGTAACTTTGTAGCCGATCCATCATCCAAGATGGCCGCCAGCGGGGGACTTCGTTTAACATAGGACCCTATGGACAATACATACAAATGTCTTCTTTAAGAGAACCACTGAATGAAATGAAACCAAACATGGCATGAATGTTCCTTATGAGGTGCTGACCAAGTGTTGTTACTTTGTAGCTGATTTGTCATTGTCCTTATAAAGTCATGTTCTACAATTTCAATGAATTTATTGGTAATTTCTGTAAACTTTACAAAAAGTCTTCTATACTTTTGATTAAATTACGGGGCCAATATTAAACCAACTGTGGCCTCAATCATTATTACGGTATCTATTATGATTTTAATCTATTTTTACATGATTTCCAAAACTAAAGTAAAATCAGGTGAGCGACACAGGCTCTCGGAAGCCTCTACTTAAATGATTGGTACGCTCTCAAAGGTGTTAGCAAAATACAAATAAGCGATCCCCGATCTTTCCCGTTAAGGCATATCAAATTAATAAATATATTATATTTGTTTTTTTCTGCAAACATTGAGAATAATCTACCTCCAATCAATTTTAGGAGCCTTTCCAAATAGTAATGCAGAACGTCATTTTGTATTAGGAAAAACAAATATATTTTTGTTTACACTCTATACCGGTCATTGAAATGATTGCGCAATCTGCCTTTTGTTAAAACGGTAAATATTTTCGATTTCTCTACAATGTTAAAAGTTTTGACAAATATCTTCATTTTTGTTCTTTTAATTCATAAATGGATTAAAAACTAACCTTGCAATTTGTCTTCTCGGTAAAATTTCTTTCACGATCCGAGACCAGATCTGATCTTTACGCGATCGCAATACATGACAACCGTTACTATCATTTGCCTCGATAACCGAATCACGAAGGCCGTGTCTATACTCTAGTCCCAAACTATTTGTCCAAGAATATATTCAAATAAGAAACTAAATATGTATACGGTGCCGATGGAGGCAAGCTTGGTCTAGCTATAGCTCATCACTGTACATCGTTTCACTGAAACATATATATCTGATAAACAAACAAAAAATGATTAGGTATAATCAAAAATTTAATTAACATCTGTCCTTCAATTCTAGCAGGTTGGTAAAGGTTCAGTTAATTCAAACACTTTATTGTTGATAGTTTGTATCATCAGTGGACTTCTGTTCTGTCGTTTTATTAAGCGACTAGGACGTATATGTTCTTTTTGCATTCTCTCAAGAGCCACCTTCTTTCCTCGTTGCATTTCACCCGCCTTCTTAAGTCTAATAACTTCAGTTTTGTTCCTAAGTTTCTCAGCCCTGATGGATACATTTTCTAAATATTCTTTATGTCGAAGCCTAGCTTCAAGAATGCGCTGCTCTGTTCGTCTACCAGATTCTCTGAGTTTTACCTTATTCTTTGGTAACCAGATTAGTTTTTGTTCTTCTCCATCTTCTGTTCGTTGTTTCTTTTGCCGTTTTCTTTCAGTTGTTTCACATGCTTTACAAATTTCTTCAAAAAATGCTTTTGACAAGTTTCCAGAGAATAATAGCTTTACCAGATACGGTGTTCCATACGACCACAGATTCGAACAATCCTTCATCTGACGAGTGTTGTCATTATCGGATGTATACAACGACGTCAATGTCGGGAACTTCTTCTGAAAATGTTTAACAGTTACTCGGAAATCTTGTTTAGTTTCTTGTATATTTGATGTTGGCTTTTTAAGATAAAATTTCGGTATACGTGGTGATGACGGTATAACTAGAGACGGCAGAGTCTGTACACATGCCGTCATACCAGATTACTTGTTCCAACAATCATCACAGGTCTCCATGCATTCTACTATGTGTCGTTGTTACGGTTGCAACGTCACTGTGGAACCAAGGATAACTCGCATTAACTTTAATGTCTGTTCACTTATAACATACATGTCTAAAACTTTCCGTTGATATACTAATACATTATTACATACTAAGGTTCCAATTCCCTCTTGCAAATTTTACCATTTATTAGATATTTTTTATGTCTCTTCAAGGGGTAAGGCTCGATCGTCAAGTATTTATACATCTCTGCATGGCTTTTGAATTGTTCGATTTGAACGTTCCTGATGAAGGTAAATACAGAAAAGCGCAACGGACGCACGAAACTTACCATCAATTAATAAGAGATAATTTGTTAAATCTGTTAATTTAATTTTATTCTCAAATTCTGCCTAGAATTATTTTAAATTGCCATCATGGTTTTGATCGGGGTCTTCTAGTAGTGGGATTTTTTTTTTCTTCAAGTTTTTATTTGGCTTCGACCACGCATACCCTTTACTCTATGTGATCTTTTTAAAAAAACGTAAACCTATGGCAAATACTATTATTATTATTATTACTTATCATATAGCACATGTCATATAATTATTGTTTAGGGTTTGAGCATTGAGATTTGAGAAATTCTATATATCAAACATACAAAAACTTATTTGACGAATACACTAAATAAGTATCTGATTATTCAGCAAAAGTGTCTAAACACTTGATTCAGATGGCGTATCTATATCTCTTGTGTCATCATTTTTGGTTTCAAACTTCATTTTAATGTTTGTTTAGCTGTTTGTTTGTTGGACATGAAGAACGACAATGTCGGGGACTGGTGGTTTGATGTCGTACTTTTGCCGGTTTTCTAGAAGCTTTTCTGGTAATACCCCTTTCCAAATAATAAAAACACTGATAATACTAATAGATGTTTCCTTTTATGATTAATCGCAAAACTCATAATTTAGTATATATATCAATGGTTTAAGATACTGAATATTTGGGAGTCGAGTGTGGCATTTTTTACATGTCTTTACGTGAATAATTTCCTGTATGACCTAGAGGTGCGAACTTAGGCGACCACACCCTACGCTTTCGTCTACAATAGAAAAAAAAAATCTTTTTTGGCACTACAGACATACTTTGTTTTTGTCTCGCTCGGTTCGGCCCAATATGTTAAGATTCAATCCTAAGTTTCAAGATATTCTTCCGTTGAGGCAAGCAATTCGATAAAGGAGAGGAACAATGTGCTGAAATTTAATGAAGGTATAGTAGATGTCAAAGTGACCATAACCGGCATATATATATATCCAAATAAACTAAAAGTTCCATGAAATCACAAAAATACTTCCCCACTTGAAGCTCTAGATCAACTTCTGTTGCAATATCTTTTTAAATAATAATGATAATGATAATGGAAATAGAAATCGTATGCATGTATTTTTTGTTATAAAGAATAAAAGTAAATTGAGAAATGTTGGAAAAGGGGGGAGGGGGTAGTCCATGTCTTTGGAAGGGGTGTCTTGAACTTATTTTCCTTCTTAAGGGTGGGAACCTGACAAAAAAACAGAAATTCCAATCCCCCCTCCCCCTCCCTCCCTGAAAAACGAAAAACAATCACTGAGGATATATTTGACCCGATGTAGGCACATATCAGTCAAATTATATGTAACCGGAAATGTGTTTGCTTACATCCCTTTACAAACCTTTACAATTAATCACGATTAAAATCATGTCATTCAGGACTAAAGAAAATACTTATTAGTATTTCGTTTCAGTCATTTCGTTTTATATATAAAAAAAATAGATCTTTGGTTTAGAGTTAGATTGATCCCGGTTCTGAATGTTCTGAATGCTGACTGTTTACCGGGATTATTATATTAGTAATTTATTTTTCGTTAGCCTTAGTGATAATTCTAACGATATACTAGTTATCGCAAATTTAATTGTATCTTATAATACAACTTTCTTCAAAGTAATTTATGATAGTAATTTTTAAATTTTTTCAATGAGATAAGCGGCTAACTTTCACTTTCGTTTTGATCATGTGCGATGACTCTCGTTGTGAAAAACTTGCAAAAAGTTGTTGATTTTAACATTGGTTTACTGGAAAACCATGTGATGTTATTGAGAAGGTTGATGGACATAACTTCTTTCGATTTAGCTATTGTTTGTTATGACAAGAAATCAATTCATAGACTGAATAAGACTTACAGAGGTGTGGATGAATCAACAGATGTTTTAGCTTTTCCTTTTATAGAGGTAAGAGTTAAGAGTTTTTTTAAATTTCTGTATAAAAAATGTTAGCAGCTTTGTTTTTCAATGATATTCTGGGGAAAAGTAAATAAAAATTTCAGGTGCCTTTAGCCTAATAGAGTTTGCTTATTGTGGTGTTTGTCTGTCCCGGTTTAGTTCAATTTTGCGTGAAGGTCACAAATCTAAAAAACTGAAAATCATAGAGGAATTATCCTTTGTCATTTGGTGCACCGTGTTTAGTGACGAAGGTCCACATTAGCTTACACTGGTTTTCACTTTACAAATGAATGGCTCATAGCCTTTGCTGGCTTAGTTTTGAGTTAAACCTCACTTTAACCTGATCTACGTACCTTGAATTCCATGATATAGGAATGGACATTTGTCAGTGGATTCGTCATGTTTAAAGACCAAGGTCCTCATTAAGATAAGGGTTCATTGACCTTTATTTTAAGCATTAATGGTTTTGGCTTATTTTTAAATTAAGCCCGTTATAATGTTTATGCATGTTAGATCTTTGCAACTCAGTACGTCAAATCAAAGGTCTGGAATGATTTTTTTTTCTCAGTTGGTGCATTAGGTTCAGTGAAGAAGGTTAACACTGAAAGTAGACCAATTGGAGCAGTAGCAGTACTAAAAGTATACCTTGACATTCATTTTACTCATCAGTGGCTTCTGATTAAGATTGTCCAGTTACGTTAAGGACAAGATTGGTCAGTTATTACATCATGTCAAGTAACGCAGGTATACGTAAAGGGAGGCATGACCTTTTATTTTACGCTTGAAATGATTTTAGTTGTTTAGTCTTGCGTTAAGGTTTACATAAAGAAACTACAAATCATTAAGGACTGATATCTTGTCATTTTAAACATCATATTTAGTAATCACTTTACTTAGCTGTAAAGGTAGCTGGGGTGTCTTAATGTTCCTGACGATAGATTTATCTTAAACTTCAGTAAAAGACTTCTGGGTCGATGTTCTTTCAAATTTCTATAAAAAAAACTGGGGGTCACGGATCTTGTTTTTGTTGTTGTTGAAATACCTTGAAATTAACGAAATCGGGGTTATTTTATATTGGTTATATAGAAGTAACTTATTTTTTGCTTATTGAGGAAACATTAAACGATAGAATTTGCTAAAATTCGATGAGATAATTTCTTTTCATTAATACTTCTAATATCAAATAAAAAAAGGGGGTCACGGGACTTATTTTCTTGAAATATCCAAAATACACAAATTGTTCTATCAAATTCAATGTGAATATCTGCCCTTGATTTTAAAAGGATTTTTTTATGAATTTTTTTAACTCTACAACACTCAGTTTTTTGAAAGTTTAATCCAACATTTCAAGTTTAAGATATTTTTGTTGTATAATGAATGATACTTGGTAAAATATTTTAAAAACAAAAATGTAGTTTTGCAACATGCCCAAATGGGATGTTCAGAAAAAGACACCCGATCTACCTTAACCTGACCTTCATTAATGATTTTTTTTCTTCTTCAAATAATCAAATAACAGAGAAGGGGATTAGCTGACTCCATTTATTTCTGATAGAGAGAAACATAAAAGATATAGTTGACGGTTACACGTCAATAAGCCAGCAACACAGAGATACAAGTTACACAAAGTAGAGATCTAGAAAAGTCTAGAGTTCCTCGACACTAAAAAATCAACTCAATTAGTCCAAAGTAAAGGTAAAGGAGAACGATACCAATGGAATATTTGTACTCACTAGTCGAAGACAAACTGGAAAATGCCATGACAAAAACAAACGAAAAACGGGGGGAAAAAAACCAACAGTCTACAAAACAACATAGAAAAGTCAAGACTGAGCAACACGAACCCTACAAAACTGGGAGGGGGGATCACGTGCTCTGGATGGATAAGCAGATGAATTGTGAAAATTCCATGTACGAGTCTGTGTAAATTATTATGATAGTTATGGTCGTTTGTGGTTTGTTCAGTCCATGTAGTTACATCTTGAAATTGCTTTTGAAATATTAATATTTCTGTAATGAGCATTTGCTGACCTTATTTCAGAATAAAGTCTACACATGAATGGTAAGAACTCTCAAGCAGTCATCCTATATAGCTATTGTTTCTTAGCTTAGAAACAGATTACATATACTGTTATTAGGTTATGATTATTACTTAATAACAGAGTTTTTTTTTTTAAATGACATATATATATAAAATTATACAAGCAAGCAACAGTAACTCCTTGGCTATGGGGATTAATTTTACTCTTCACTCTGATATTCTGAAATGTGTATGCTATTACCGAAGATATAATCAAGGAAAGTGGAAATACATGTTTTGATAGAAGGCTTGCGTTGAAGTAGATCATATGTTTAATTTTTCAGGTATTCAAGCCAGGTGTTCTTCCATTTATAAAAGATCCCGAAGAAAGGATTCTCGGTGATATCGTACTAGGCATACCGTATATAAAGGAAAATCTAGGAGAGAAAGAGAAACTAGAAGAGGTTTTACCGGTTAGATCATTAGACTTTAGCTTTAAGATCACCATATAAAAATAGAATTATAAGTTTTCGATCTTTACGTCAAAAATCCGATTTAAGGCATTTTTGCATAATCAATGTTTCGTCCCACGTGTGATGGTATTGAATGTGACCTATAATATACCAGTTTTTTACCACCATTGTCGTCCTCTCAGGGTGATTTAATGTCATTTTCGTAATATCTGTCATTAGATTATGTACTTTTGTAAAGGATGTTTTTTTTACTTTCAATCACGCTCAAAGGAATATAGCATTGTTAACAAAGGTGTCTGATATATAATAACGGTTTCATCTGTCCCATAAGTATGCATGGGACGAATCAGGGCCCAGATTTATATTTTATATATATATAAGACGATTTTAAAAGTTGTTAACATTTCCCAAATACTCTGGTTTTCAACAAATTTGATTTTCTAACTCAACTTTTAGTCTGAATGAAAAACCCGTGACGATTTGAATAAATGAAACTAAAATTGAGAATGGAAATGGGGAATATGTCAGAGACAAAAACACGACCTCAGAGCAGACAACAGCTGAAGGCCACTAAACTCCAAAACATATAAATGAACTAAAATTAAAAAACATACAAGACTAACAAAGGCCAGAGGCTCCTGACTTGGGACAGGCGCAAACTGAATGCGGCGGGGTATGTTTTGGATGTTTGAAAAAAATAACATATTATTGTTATAATATTTTTGCTAAAATTGTCACTGATTTTTTGTGTATAATTATACAGTCACTTGATCTCTAAAATAATAGTGCAATAAGAAATTTCATGTGACTAATCAGGTGCGGGTCGCCGAATAGTTTTGTTTTAAAACTTTTCATCTCAATTTGTGGCAGCAACTGCCCCCTGTATGAATTTCTTGGGGCTCCAGTTCCCCCATTTTGAAAATCTTGGGGCCCCGGTTCCCCTTTTGAAAATCCGGTATCCACCACTGTTCATAATAAGTTGTGTAAATAAATGATATCAAATTATTTGTTTTTTTCTGACAGGTTATGGTTACCCACGGAATCTGTCATCTGATTGGATACGACCACGAAGATGAGGTTCAGTGGAAACAAATGTACCAAAAAGAACTTAACATACTTCAGAAATTTAACAATCAGACCGGTTATTACTGCAAACCATTATTAGGCGTGGGACACTTTATTCAATGAACTGGGATTTCCTTGCAGAACGCAAGGGACCTGTTTGGTCATAGATCATCCTACTCTTCTTGGATAATGTCCGATGAAAGCCACGAGAGGCGAGACATTTTCTTACGGCTAACAGTAATATTGACAATTTTGTGTTAATTTCTTTTTCAACAAGGTCAACCAACATTTTAGAACTTTTTTGCGTAGCTTATAATATGATCTTATCGGCCAATTTGTGTCACCTTACCTTGATTTTATTTGCGTGGTTATATTTGGTATGCATAATTACTGATCAACATGAATGCTAAGAATGAGGCCAAGTAAACCACATGTTCTAACTAAGTGTGTCAATTTTTAGTATGTGGAATGTTCTGAAAGAGGTACATGTCAAATGGACTTGACCAACCTTAAATTTAAGTATAGGTTGGATTGTATAACCTCACTGTTGAAAACAATAAAAAGCATTATTATGACAGAACTAGTATGATTTTGTTGCCCATTGTAGTTTGGTAAAATACTTTCATTGGTAATTATCTAGACTATCGTTAAAATGTAGATAACAGAAATGTTATCTGATCGACACCTTGCAAATATAATTTCACTTACAACGGTGCCAGGGGTTGTCCTTAAATCGCAGTAAGACTTATTTTTTTGCTCAGTGTTGTAGGCCTCATTATGACTTAGAGATCATTGCCAAGAATCTGTCCGGTTTAAGGGAGATAACCCAATTTGAAAACAATTATTTGTATCGACAAGGACGATAACCCGTCCTCGCTCCATATGGGGTCACTTGCCAATTTGACATATGCGATAAGACGCACAATTAGGGGTTAAACACCCGCTGGTCTGTAAAGATAACTTCAGTGAAAACCAATACCAGATGTTATCGATAAAATAATTTTGAATCATGTTTTCTGTATTTTGGTGTAGTTTGTAAAATTAATTGAAGGCCGGAGTTCCTATTCGATCTTTGTTGAAACCTGGGACTACTGATTTAGTGTATTAGTCCCAGTTGAAACATTGAAACGGCATGAGATGTTTTACCCAAATTGGTAAATGAAAAATGCATATAAATAAAAATAGATATTCTTTTTCAAAATGAATTGAGCATCAAACTGACTGAAATGTAATTGAAATTTTAGTTCAACTATTTCACATATAATTGGCCGAAAAGCCGTTGACTTACGGTTCTTTTTTTATATATATATAAAACGGGTACTTCGAGAATTCGGAATGTCTGTCATTTTATTTAATTCTAAACATCCATTGACAGTTCATAATTATTGAATTTAACAGTATACATTGAGTGAGGATAACAGCACAATTCCTAGAGTTAAATGAACTGTTGTTGGTTAATGTCTGTCATATTTGTTTTTCGTAAATTGTTTTGTTATAAATTAGGTCGTTAGTTTTCTCAATTGAATAGTTTCATATTTTTCATGTTGGGGCCTTTTATAACCGACTATATGGTATGCATTTTTCTCACCGTTGAAGGCCATACGGTTGCCTATAATTGATTACGTCCACTTCATTTGAACTTTGGTGGATAGTTGTCTTATTGGCAATCATACCACATCTCTTTATTTTTATATGTATGTTGGATGTGTACTGGTAGATAATTTATCTTCAGATCGGTACTTTAGATCTTTTGTCTTCTTTAGATAGTTTTTTTGTGCCCATCTGACAAAGAAGCATTTTCCTACTAATTTCAACAGTTTGGTCTTGTGTTGTGCTTTTATACCACTGCCCCAGGTTCAGTGGGATTAAGATAGATTTGAGCACTCACAAGCATGTTTAACCCCGCCGGTTTATACTTCTGTTTTAAGTCGGGAACAAATTACTTGTGATTATGTGGTTGTCGTTTCTTGCTGTCTGAAATATTTATTTTCTTGTTGTTATTGTTTTAGCATAAACTAGTTCGTTGGTTTTTTTCCCGTTTTAATTTTTTCGACAATTAACATGAGATCTGTCAAAACATGTTAACCCCGCCGCATTTTTGCGCCTTTCCCAGGTCAGGAACCTCTAACCTTTGTGTGGTTTTTTTTTTAATTTTGCTTCATTTATATGTTTCGGAGTTTGGTGTGGCGTTCTTTTCGCCGAACTAGTATACATTATTGTGTAGGGGCCAGCTGAAGCCCGCCTGCGTGTGCGGGATATTCTCGCGCTGCGTTGAAGACCCAATTTGGTGGCTTTAGGCTGTTTTCTGCTCTTTGGTCGGGTTGTTGTCTCTTTTAACACATTTCCCGTTTCAATTCTCAATTCTATCCTACAAAGCTTACTATACGATATGGGTTTAGCTCATTGATAGAGGCCGTACAGATACTTATAGTTGCTTTCAACCACGTCCTTTGGTCTATGGTGACAAGTTGTCTCATTGCCAATTTTACCACATCGTCTTATTTTGTAAATTATTGTCATGATGATTTATTTCTAAGTAAAACCAGAGCCATATATATATATACATATATATATATATACAAGTCTAAATTGAAAACAACGTTCAAACCTATGATTGCGTTGGATAAAAACCTCAATTTTTATACGTGTGCATGCAAAAACAAATTTCTTGTTAGAGGGGTCTAAATACAGCACAAACAACATTTTCCAAAAGACCAAAAAAGTGAAAAAGTATATTTTAACAAAACGCATTTGACTAACAGGTCGAACAACAAATGTTCTTAAACCCTGCTGACTGCCATTGGCGATTGCCAAATAAACGGATCACAAGGTGTAATAAATGGATCTTAATTAAAAATTTCATACCAAACAGAAAACAATAAACTTGCGGCAAAGATGGTATACCGCAAACAAAGGTGCAAAGATTTTTGTACACCATATCCATATATATATATATAATATATGTAGCTCTAGTTAAACCATAATTTATGAAGGAACGGGGGTTTTAAAGCTTTTCATACATTGTACATTATGATAGCCAATTTATTCAGTTAAAGCTTACAGAACCCTGTATTATCTTGTGAATTTTGTGGGTGGAGGGTAGGTTATCTCGTGGATATTTACCTAATATCTCACATTATATAAACATCTACGACGTAAACAATAGAAGTTAAACAAGAAACAGAAAACACACAAGCTTCCAGCATCGTTTCAACCATATATCCACAGGTATATACCCTGAAGCTGACATGTTAATTGTCATACATGTACAAGTACCTGTTCAAAGCTAACAATCTTTACCGTTTTGTGAACAAATTATTGATTTTTTATTTAATATTGTTTCGATTCAATAAATTTTAATTGAGACGAAAAGCTAGTGATAAAAAATTGACAAAAGGAATTTAATAAAAGTTGTTTTTTGTTGTTGTTTTTTTTTCATTTTATACACTTTTTTGTGATCAACAAGTTTCTTTTTGACGGCGAATGTACAATTTAAGTAATGAAAGAATTTCAAAACTATTTAACGGGTCTTGAAAGGTGCAAACTTTCCAATTTATTGTGCGCACATATTATTATTCGTGTATTTAGTTTCAAGAAATTAAATAACAGAAACTCGGTTTGATGTAAAATATATTATTAGATTTCATCTTGCCGTATCAAGTGGTCGAATTCGTGAAGTTTTCTAAATGTTTTTTTATGCACTCTTTAAAGTGCGACGAAATGGAATTGTTCTCCTATATGATTGTGTATTCAAATCGTGTTAAAATTGCCTCAAAAAATGATTATCTAGGGATTAAGAAAACGAGCCAGTTGTCTGATTGACAATCATACAACATCTTCTTATTTTTTTTTAAATAAATGTGAATAGAAACCATTTGATGCCATTGAAAAAAAATATGATTGTGTATTGATAAATCATTCAGATGAGCAAGCATTTATTTAAAATAATTAATGCGTTTTAGATTTTGATTGCATTCTTATGATATATTTATTAATTTTCGGTTATAACCACGTGAAAACAGAAACAAAAAATAACTTAAAATCTAATCATCTTCAACAAGGATTTGTATAGTGAGATATACAAATCCTTGTCTTAAATTATAAAAAAAAACGTTAATTATAATTATATGGTGTTTTGCTATTCTGTCAACCCTAAATCAAGTTTATACAAAATGTCGTTTACACTATATTACATTACTCTGGGAATATATTATGTCTCAGCATGACTGTATAAACACGATTGTATAACAATTTGTTATCTGTTTACACACATGATGTGTCCTGTTGTCAAATAGAAATTGATAAAAAAAAAAAACAAAAATCGCCTACTTTTAAATCAAATTTGGAGCAAGAAGAAAATATCCAATTTGAAAATAAACTACACCACGTTAAGCTTTAACTTTTCATCTTTTTCTTGGTCGCAGCAGCTAAGGTATATCATAAGTAAAAGTATTTTATTTATTTTTTCAAAGCTGACCACTCTTCCGAATAATGACATTTTCCTGTAAGAATAACGGCAGAAGTAAGCCATCTGACATCACTGTTAAAAATCCAAATTTGTTGCAAGAAGTTCAAACTTTATTTTAAAATAATCAATATCATAAAAAAGAAGACACATTAAGGATTCTGGGGATCGCAGCAGCTAAGAAAACCATTGAGAAGAAACTTGAATATCGTCTTGTAAAGATTTTTTTCCATATAACTTCTGTATAACGATTTTATCCATGTAGGGTATCTGAATTCACGCATGCGCAATATTGACCGGACTAATTCTTGACAATGTGAAGAACAGCAATGACAGTGGTTCATTTGCTTTTATAAGTGCGTGTAGGGATTTTGTGTCAAGAGTTAATAATTCATATCTCTTTTGCCGTTACACCGACAAGAGTGTTTTCGGAGACCAAAAACAGTTTCACATGCTTTTCGAGTGATTTTACCAACTTTGAGACAAACCCCCATTTTACTATCCACACTAAGAAACAAAATGGGGGTTTGTCTCAAAGTTGGTAAAATCACTCGAAACTATGTAAGACATGCGCAGTAGTGATAGATATGTAGTATAAATGTTGAAAATAGAATATTTTAATCAACAAAAAAAAGTTAAAAAAATTTTCTGTATCATATACCCAAGCGCCTGTGTTTTTGCTTACAGTTATTGCGTATTTATTCTTGCGATAACTTGGCATATCATGTACTCACTCAATTTTTATTCTTTAGTCTCTTTTTTATAGAACTTGTTATGCTGTCCCTCTCTATTATTTACCTTATTTCCTCCAGACGAAAAAGAGCGAACCATTGAAGAGACTCATGATTGGAACAGGCACGTGATCTTTTGATCGGGTTAATATTTTTTCTTCGGTCGCAACCCCGATTTTTAATATCGATCAATTTACTTATCGAAGGTATACAAATCAGTATAGGAAAGGCACTTTTAACTCTTTTAATGACGGTATAATAAGTAGACACAAGTTAAAACAAAACAATGATAAACTGGCAATATTGTATCAAAGAATACTTGCGACTCAGAGTCAGTTCAATTCAGAGTAGATTTCCTACAGCAACGTCATGAACAGTATAAGAAGACAAACTGTTTTACAATAATTACATTTTGGATGTAACACGTCTTTTTATTGGCTGAAAGTTTTTGTCTATCAGCTCATAAACATAATTTTGTCATGACCGTGACGTCATCAACTTTTTTTTTAATGATTTACTCCTAAAAAATAGAATTTAGAATTAAATTATAAAGACGGACTGTAATATTTTTTCTGTCTTTTCGAAATAACCCCCCCAAAAAAAAACGTGTTGCTACGCGGGTTATTCAGTGTGCACCACATTTTTGATGTTATTTCTTCATAAACAGAAAAAAATATTACAGTCATTCCTTAAAAGCAAAATAATATTGAGCATAATTTCAATGCAGAAATAGGAAAGGAACAGTTTAGTCTTGCTTTAATCTATAAATCAGCGAAGTGATGATAATCACACGCAAAAAAGTTGCAATAATTGAACAACAGTTCAATAGTAACCTTTATTAGCAAAAGTCAATAAAGTCTATTGAGAAAAAAGATAGATCTGAATCACAATTCCTTAACCTGTTAGCTTTATAATATTACCATAAACAGCACGTAGTTCCTATTCAAACTCCGACAATGGAAAGTCCCATTTTAAACCAATCTGATTAGAATTCAGACCTATATTAACTCGCTTGCTCGTACATATAAGATCTCATATTGAGTATAACGAAATCAGAGAACTTTATTTTAATTAGATCGATTTTAAACCACTCTGATTATTTATAATACATGGCCAAATTTAACCAAGCCTGATGGAAGTCGTTGATGAATCTGGTGAAGTCTTAACGAACGAGAAGGACGTACTTAACAAATAGCGTATCGATTTTGAAAATCTTTACAACGGGAAAAACAACACCGAATTTGAAAACGACCATTATAATCAGTCAAAAGTTCATAAACAGTTATTGGAATCTGAAATGGAAGATCCGTTGTTTATGCCGAATGAGGATTTAAACTCTAATATTAAGATTGATGAAATAACTAATATAGTAATGCATGCAAAACCAAAATCAGCAAGTGGACCAGACCAAATTCCGTACGGCGTTTTAAAGTACCCGATAATCATTCAAACATTGCAACAACTCTTCCAACTAATATTTGACACCAGTATAATTCCAACCATCTGGAGAAAAGCCATCATATGTCCAATATTGAAAGACCCGTCATCAGATCTCCGAGTACCAATGAACTATAGAGGTATAAGTCTTTTGTCGTGCACTAGCAAATTGTATAGTTCTTTTATTAATCAACGGCTCGTCATTCATCTTGAAAATAATGATATTCTTGCCGACGAACAAAATGGGTTTAGAAAAAATAGATCATGTGAAGACCATATATTTACTTTGAATAGTGTTATTAGAAATAATAAATCAGTATTTGTTGCATTCATCGATCTGAAGAAATGTTTTGATTTTATTGACAGAGATATGATGTTATACAAACTTTTGCTGAATAAAATTGATGGGAAGTTGTACAATTCTGTAAAAAGTATATACCAAAGTTCTGAGTCATGTGTTCGTATTAACGGTAAACTAACATCGTGGTTTTGCTGTAAAACTGGTGTGAAACAAGGAGATAATTTATCGCCGACACTCTTCTCCATATTTATAAACGATCTTGTCCAAGAAATTAATGACCTTAATCTTGGAGTAGACTTACTTGAAACGAAGTTATCATTATTATTGTATGCGGATGATATAGCGTTAGTTGCAAAGTCGGCTGAGGATCTTCAGTGTATGTTGAACACACTTCACCAATGGTGTAAACGTTGGAGGGTGTTAATCAATACAGATAAATCTAAATGTATTCATTTCAGAAAACCAAGAACTAAAGAAACTAATTTTGAATTTACAGTTGGAAAAAACAAATTGGAGAAGGTCGAAAATTACAAATATTTAGGGATTGCATTCGGTCATAATGGAAATTTCATAACCAACGCGGAAAATTTGTCGAAAGGCGGTGGGAGAGCACTAGGGACGATCATATCCAAAATTCACAACAATAAAGACTTCGGATTTAATGCCTACGAAAAACTGTATTACTCGTGTGTAGTTCCTATCTTAGATTATGCCTCAAGTGTTTGGGGATACAGAAAATTTCAAACAATAGACAATATTCAAAACCGTACAATACGATATTTTCTTGGTGTTCACCGTTTTGCGCCTACTCTTGCCCTACATGGGGATGTTGGATGGATCCCAAGCCAGTTTCGAAGATGGACAAACATGGTGAGGTATTGGAACAGACTACTCAAGTTTGAAGATGATCGCATAACGAAGCTCGCTTTTAATGCAGACTATAACCGTTGTGCCGACAACTGGTGTAGCGAATTGAAAGACATTCTTTGTAAACTTAATTTAGAACATTATTTTGATTCAAAAACTGCTATTAATTTGAGAACTGTAGAAATGAACATTCAGCGCCTTTATTCAAACATATGGAATGATAATATACAAAACTTCGTACTTATATAACTTTCAAATCTGCCTTTAATCAAGAACAGTATGTAAAAATCAATTTAACCAAAGTCGAACGCTCGCATTTAGCACAATTCAGATGTGGAATATTACCTCTGAGGATTGAAACAGGACGATATATAGGTGAAAGGCCAGAAAAAAGACTCTGTAAATTTTGTACTACAGACGTGACCGAAACTGAAACTCATTTTTTACTAGACTGTACATTCTATTCTGATATACGAGAACATGTGTTTGGTGAACTTTTATTAACTACTTCCTTTATATCTATGGACAATAATGAAAAGCTTATTTTTTTAATTATAAGTCATACTCGAAAACTAGCCAAATACATCGTACAGGCATATTTCAAAAGATGCAATTCTGTTTACAAATAGCTTAATATCTTAAAATTAACATTCGTCAACAAAAAGATAATTTCATGAATAATTTGTTATTTTGAAGAACGTGATAAAATTGTTTTATAATTATTTAATTTCATTTGAGGTGACTTATAGGTCCATTGGGCCGGGCGTATTAATATTAATATTTATAATATATTGTATGTTTAAAATCTGTACATATTTACACATGTCACTATAATAAATAATTTACTTACTTACTTTTATAACGAATAACATACGGAAGTTTCCTATAGAGGATTTCTGCATGTGGTTTCGATGAGATGAAAAATGAAAAGGGCACTATTGAGTTCTTATTGAACAATTTTAAATTATATCTTTTAGGAACCAAATTATCATGTAGATGAGCGATACAGGCTCAATACTTCCACAATAAATCTCTATCCTAAGGATAAAATTAAATAAAAATTTATAATATCTATAACCGTGCTGTATTTTTTTAGCACATTACATTAATTCATTGAATCCGAGATGTAATTGAAAAAACGTACACAACTGAGAAAAGTACACTGCATAAGAAGGAGTCAGTAAGTGATTTTTTTGTTTTTGTTTTAGCATGGATATTATCTAAAAAATGAGAAATTAACTATCAGGGTATAAAAATGAGCATCGGTCATTGATACGTTAGAATTCGTAAGAGTGAGTTGAGGTGGATAAATCGATTTGTATATTAAGAAGGTATCATTGAAAAACATCGATTGAGTGTTGTAACTTCACTCTTCGTAAAATGTTTAGCTGTACAGGTGAAGTGTGATTCAGAACAGTTAAAGAATAAATCTTTTATAAGAGGGGCACAGTTTATCCCCATCGGGTACATCACATAACTATATTTTATCTTCAAGATGACAATACATATTATCTAGGAAAAATTCTATTTGCTTTAAGCATTAGTTTGTGTGTCCACTTAGTGTTATCATTTATTTTCACATCTCGTGGTGCATCAACATGATCATGTATCACATGGTGTGGTCTATCTTTATATTCTACAAAAACTGAATCGTTGGAAAGAACTCTCGTTCTCATCGTGTATGCCATACAAATAATTGTTTTAAAGGCTATTAGTTCATTTAATATCACAGCATAATAATAGTTCATTTAATATCACAGCATAACAAGAGCTACATTATATGCAACTAAATAAATACAAAACATCGTATCTTTCCCTTTCCTATGGGACTATACAGTGTCCACTGTAATTTATAATATAAGTCATAAGATTCTCACAATCTTTTAGTTTTTGTTTGAAACAGTAACATTATATATATAGCTGTGTCAGTTCATATATGTCCTCTTTTTAGCATCTGTTGTCATCCAGATTTTATCTTCAGCCTATCTTCAACTTCTGTTAAAAGAGGTCCATGTTGAATGCGTTATACAACATTGCTGCCTGGGTAGGACTGTTGCCTTAAAAATAGATGGATGCAATATCTCATGATATAAAAGTTTCGTTAGATACTGTTGAATTTATAGTGACCGATGAATGTTTTCAATTATATTGAGTTTCGCGAATTCACTTTGTATCTTTTTAGCCATGATTCAATGTTGGATAACTCGAATATTCAATGGGAAATATGTCATGCAAATCCAGGACGATATATCTAATATTATGAATTTATTATACGTTCGGTCAATGTATTAGGTCGATTTAGAAATTGGAAAAAGGGCAAGATTTCTTCCTACATGCAGTAGATCACATAAAAAAACGCCCAAAAGAGTTATTGCAAGGGTTCTTTTACTGTTGAGTGCGTGGCATTCTTTCAACTCGACTGGTATATAGAATGAACAAAGTCCGACCAGATATTTTAAGCTATCAAAATAACCTGCGTTGTAAGCTTACAAATCATGACAAATCAGATCAATTCGGTTTAGAACGTCATGTGCCATCCTTATCATTTTGTGTGGGATAAAAAAATCAACTATTAAGGGACAGTTTAAATCTATATATATACTGAACTTCGCCATTTACTACCTCCTTTAACTCGATCTGCCCGTTTACCGGTACATGCAATAATTGAATGTAGGACAGAAAGTCACAGGACAAAAAGTCACGGACAAAAAGTCACAATTCAGTTTTGAGATTATTTTTTTTCGAATAAAAAAACACTTATTTTTACAAACATTTTTGCCTTTTCTTGAACTATTATACATAAAGCAAATTTGTAAACAAAAAGTTTTTTTTATAAATCAATAATTATCAAATAATTAAAATTTATTGATAAGAAAACAATTTGTCAAAGTGGCTTGGTACTTAAATGGCTTCATGGTGCCAAAAATAAATCCTTTGCATGATAAACAATTGACAAATCTTCATTTATCAAGGCTGATGAACAATTTCCTAAACTGTAAATTAAATGAATATATGTAATAAAAAGACTGTTTCAAGAACTTCCTCTTATACATTCAAACAATTACGAACAAATCAATTGTGACTCAGTTTTGTTCTATCAAATTTGTGACTTTCTGTCCGTTTACCACAATAATTGGTATAGCTTCATGTATAATCAAATGTTCTTACCTCTGAAGAAGTTTCTGTTTGTTTGAAAACGGTTTCTAGCAGAATTTCTTAATGTTCTTTGTTGAACGTTGAATCTGGGACGGTTTTGAACACGGCGTTGGGATTGGATTCGAGAAGATCTCCTTGAGTTTCTAAAATTTTGATTTTGAGATCTTCTTCTGGCAGTGTTGAATCGTGAAAAAGTTTGTTGTCGGCGTGGTTGGAAACCAACTGCTCTTTGTCCCCAACTTTGGCGTCTTCTAAAGCCTCCTACAAGGAATCTGTTTCTGTACGATTCATCTGAATCGTCGTCGTTATTATTGCTGTTATCGTCATACAAGCCATTTGAATCTGAGTCTCTGTAATCCCTGTATTTTCCGACAAATGAATCGCCATAATTGTCTGAATCTCTGTCCCAGAACTGGGCACATATGCTTCCAACAAGTACAGAAATTATAATTTCACGGAACATCATTGTAAAAGTAGCCTTTTCGTCAGGACTGCCAGTCTGAAGTGTAATGAATACATTGTAGAGACTGTATTTTATACATTCGAAACGATGATTATAATTGTCTATTGATAATTATTAACCAATAATCACTTAACGTCATTCACTACGACCACTGTCAACAACCAATCAAAACGCTCGAGTTAAGCTTTACAACGAAGGCGTGTATTTTATTATAATTATATTACTGATCTTTATAAGAAATTTGACAGTTATAAAGGTCGATCTCGGCATTTAAAAAAAGTCAACAATTGTATTCTGTTAGTTCGGTGGAATGCTGGGAAATCCATGCCTATAATTGGAATTTTAGCCTAGGTAAAAAGTATCTTGAAGAATTTTTTTAATATATATATAAATCACTTGTGACATTCGTGCCAAGATATAACAAAAGAATCTCATTTAAAGAAATTCTGATCCTGTTTTTTTTTCAATTAGATATCAGAACAAAACACCAATTTCAATTTATTTCAAAACCTATAAGAAGGATTTTTTTTGTTCTGGGTGTGTATCTTTTATCGTGAAAATTATTTTTATAAAAGAATACTTATGAACAAAACGTTTACTGGAAAATACAAGGAATCACCTAAACTGTTGGGTTTTCAATATTGACATGTATTTATGACGATGACTAAGGTCATGATTTTGTCAAACGAGTTTGATTGCCTTATAATAATTGTTCAATAATTACCCTTGTCCGACAATTTACATTTACATATCTATAATATAGGTGTTGTTGGACAGGATAATTATATATTTATTGCTTACCTTGTACAATGCAGTTTAGAGGCCTGTCAAATAATATGTTCTATAATGAGACAAAATTTGATTTCCGCGTGTGTATTAATAATGCAAGGGGAATTTAATGATGATAATTGTGTATACACGATGTAGGTTCCCAGGGATGTCCCTTGTTAACTCGTTTTTATTCATCTATTTTTTTTTAAATATTTATTTCAGATTGCCGAATTCATTTTCGACTGGATATGATGTTGAAAAAGTACGGATTAACCTATAAAATCAACGTTGGAACTTTCCTGAGGAATATAAACGGATAATAGAAAAAAATTTCATTGCACGAATTGTGCATTGTCTCAAGTATTTTTTTAGTTGGACAAACAGGTGGGACAGTTTTAAGCAGCGTTTAACGAAATTACTTTTATTTTGGTAAGGAACAATTCTCTTTAATGAATCAAAAAGAAAGAAAGAAGACTATATGATGAATGTATACAGATCAATGGGTCACCGTACGGCAGTCAACCATGAGAAAAACTCATACTCAATAGTTCGATATAAGAGGCCGCGGCAAGACAAAATGTGATTATGTCAAAAGAGAAAATCAATTATCTGATGTATGCTAACAAACAATCAACGAAAAATAAATTTGACAGAAAGCAACCAACGAGAACCACATACTTTTACAGGCTCTTGACTTGGTTAAGGCACATAAATTATGTGGCAGGGTTAAACATGTTTGTGAGCACTCAACTCTCCTAGCTTCGGACAAGTGGTGTAACACAAAACAAATAAACCCATCACTAAAAAATGAATACACAAAAGCTACATATGGCCAGTAAGCAAACATCTAGGTGTCTATTTCTCCAACAACGTGGAATGACCATATTGAACTTTTTTTTCAATCTTACAAAAGAATAAACATAAATAAATGAGGAAAATGAAAATATGTTCTTGATAGGTTTAGTCTTGAAAATTTTACATATCATTTGTTCGACCTATTCTTGAATATATGCAGACGTTGTATGGAAATCCCAAAATCAGAATGTCATCACTAAACTTGAGAATATTCATTTGATGCTGCCGAAAGTTAATGGGAAAAATATTCTGATAGACGATGCAAGAAGTTTAGTTAAATAATATGTTATTGCAATGCAATAGGATTGGACACACGTTAAAACAACTTATATTATGTGCTTTCCTTAAATATACAATACACATATATGATGAGAACAAACACATAAATAATATAGCTTCACTGGTTAAAGAAAATAAAGGAAGAGTCGCACATTGGCATGGCAACAAATAAAAATGCAAACAAGACAAAAGAAAATGACAAAAACAAAACTGATGACTTGGAATGCTAATTTTTTTTTGACTATTTAATGAAAAAAACAAACTTTATATATATATATATATATAGAAAAATTTAGAGTCAATTTCTCATTATATGCATCTTTTCCAAACAATAGCTTTTTAATATCAATCTGTATGTTCATATTTATAGGATCAGGAACCAGGGACATTATTATGGCATGCTAGAAACCGCAAGAGCATTTAGTATCATTCACTACATGTTTCTTATCTTAGTCTACGTTTAGTGCACTGCACTGGTGTCTTGGACTTGTATGCAGCATATGAAATTTTCTGGGCCCTTCACCATAATATGTCGGAGGTCTATACATGATTCACCTTTTTTCCCGTTTGAATTTTGGGATAGTTGGTTCGTTTCTTATAGTTGGATTTTAATTATTCCATGTTCTGACAGTAGATGGTACGAGTACGAATGACCTTTTCAGTAATTCGTAGTCTACATCCAGTGGGTATATAATTATCATTATTTCTTATGTTGTATCCACTGACATCAGATGTAACTGGAGGTACTAGTAGATAGTCGATTAAATATTGATTTCTGCTAATGTTTCCCAGTCCGTTTCAAAATATAAGGATTCTAAACTTGATAATTTTGTAAGATCTGTTACTATCCTTGCAGTTTCTAGTTGTATTTTTTCTAGTTTATTATATTCATATTAAAAATTCAAAACACCCTTCCTATACTTCGCATTCATATTCCAAAAGTGGTCTCATAAAAGTGATATAGATATTTGATAAGCTTTTTTGGAAAGTGTAAATTTTAGTTTCCTCAGTACATTTACTTGCAAGACGACGCAACCATAGATTAGTTCTTTCATTTAATTTTGAATAACAAAACTCCAGCGTATTTAAGATACTTAATTAATGCCTGATTCAGTGGGAAGTAGACATGACTCCATCATACAAGACAACGACATAATGGTTACACAATTCAACAAACAAACGTGGCATTTATATTCTGAAAAGTTTCCCTGCAACAACAAGACTATGAATCACACTTAAATTAGACATCAGATTCACTGATCTAATTCAGGGAATTTATAAAACAATCAGTCTTTCTGTTTATATTATTCATTGGAAAAAAAGACAAAAGCCTACTATACAGTAACACTGAACATGTCCTATTTAATTAATACAAGATGAGAAAATTAAAAAAAATGAGGAAATTGTGGAACAAAATAGACAAAGCAAGTTCATATCACTACCTTGTTTGAAAGTTAGTTAATGTTTAGAGCTTCAGTCTGTAATTACTGAAAAGTATAAAAGAAATTATCTATTTTAACTATCAAATGTAAAGGCTGTACACTGAAAGTTTGAAGGCATGTCTTACTGTGATGTACATATGAACCCTGTTTAGTGCTAGACCAACACGCTGATCCAGCAGAATATCAACATGCTAGCTCACATGGTAAAAGTATACAGGAAGACATGTACATATTAACCTGACTCAAACTATGGAAACAAGTTAAATATTATCATCGTAGATTTTTCATGTTTGATCAGTATAAAGGAAATTTGAAAATTAAATAAGTGTCGCCTTATAAAATATGCTACACACGAAAAGTGATTTCTATCCACAAAAAAACAAAACAGAAGTGTTTATAAAATACCTCGTATTGGACCTGCATTTCAATTGATAGGTAACCAACCAGGCAAATGTAGGTCGCCTTGACCATTTTTCATGCTTCACTTGCCTTGGTCATATCTAAGATACTGTATCCATGCTTTCACATCGGAATACATAATTTTCTATATTTTTTCCACTCTTTGGATGAAAATCAAATAAAAAGTAAATTTTGTTTAATACTATTCAAAAGAGTGTAGGTATGAAGTTCTTCAATGTGGAGATGTGAAAAATAGGTGTGCCCGGCTGTCGAAAAGTTGAGAAATTATATAACAGTAGATGTTACCCAAACTTATTATGCAAAAATAGATGAATTGTGCAGTCTTTATATCAGTACAAATGTCTTTTATTCATAGTAACTTTAAGATAGTGAAAACCAGTAGTATATTCAATGAATATATTTAAACAATTAATGTTCTATCGATATTAAGGAAAATTCATTTCCGATATAAAGTTTAAAACTTGTAAATGAGGGATTTTACAAAATCACTAAATCCTTCAGTAATTTACAAATTCCATGATTTTACAAAGTCACTGTAATACATACAATACATCATTTCATGTTCTTTCTTTATTTTCTATTATATTTTTCACCTTTTTCATATATTTATTTATTCATTGCAGAGCATACCAATATTTGTGTTTTTACCAATACGTATATTATTTGTATGTTAGGAGACGATTTGTCAAAGCAGAGACATAAAATACAATATTATATGTCTCTGGTCAAAGCAAATTTGCTTGTTTCTGAATCCTAGATAGTTATTTCAAGTGTATTGTATTGTTATTAGATGATTTATCTGAGTATATATGATTATCAAAATTTCACTTTCGTAAACCATAGTAAACTGTTTGGATTCATGGGTCTCTTAATTAAAATTGAAAAAAAAATCTTATTTTACAAATAAATCCGTAGATTGTTCAATTGCATAAATAATTATTTTCACAGAGTACACGTCTAATAAAGTGATACATTTTGTTGTTTTTTTTTTGCTTTTGTTTCGTTTTGTTGATTGTTTGTTTGATTTTATTTGTTTTTTTCTTCTTTTTGTGTTTTTGTGTGTTTGGGATGAAGGGTAGGTATAAAAATATACCAATAAGACTAATTAGTAATCCGAATTGATATGGGTTAGAATGGTAGATGTAAAAAAGAAAACATATTGCATCTTGGTGACCGTCGTTCCAGACAGTGTGCACAGCCTCGGGACTTCCGTACTGTAGTTATTAATAAATATATTACTAACTGTACATGACAACTAATC